CGGCAAAAAGTTTTGAACATACTGCCTTCGCAACTTTGATTGTGTCCTATAAGGACAATTGTGTTATCTATAAGGACAGTTACATAATTGAATCCGTTTGATTCAGGTAATTTAATTGAATCTACACCAACTTGTTTCATCACTTGTTGTTCTACTTTAACAGGTTTTAAAGCAGGAGACACTTTTAGGTTTCTGTTAGAGGTTTTTTGGCATCGTTCACATTGAGCTACATGTTTGGTGATATCCTCCCTAATTGTATGCAAAAAAAATCTTGAAAAAATTTGCTTTCTCACAGCATTAATTCCTAAGTGGCTAGCTAATGCAACAGCTTTCTCAGAATTACCGAGACCCTCATGGAATTCTTTAACAATGTTTAATTGTTCTTTCCGATCTATTACCACAATCACCTACAATAAAAAAAATTATTTGTATGAAATTTTACATTATTTTGAGTTGTTTTAAAGCTATAAATTTTCAAATTTTTGAAAAATGTTGTGTTAATTCAAAATAATGCACAACACAGAATATTGTTTAATTACTTTATTTTATTTAAGTAAAATCTTTTAAATTAAATAAAAACTTCTTTTATAAAAACAAGTTTTCCTTACCTCGCCAATACCTTTTTCGCAATACATCAACTTATTTAGGTACGTGGAAATATATAAATATTGTGCTAAAAAACTGTACCACGCTTTTTAGATTTTTTTTAGCTAGCAACCAAGCAAGCAAGCAAAAAGCAATATATTTACCAAGAATATAGATGTTTTACAAAAAGCATGTTATAAAATACAAATAAAAAAAATTTATGTATAGTCTATATTTTGGATGGTTCACTCTTATATAGCCAGGCTAAATCGAGGAGAGCGGCCATGAGCATAACAAAAACGAAAGAAAAACAAAAACAAAAACAAACAAAAAAAACAAGCTAGCTAATACATTCATATAAGGTTGCTATTATTTAACATTCATATTTATATCATATCTCATATAACTTCTATTGTCATAAATCTTTTATCACCAACGATTCAATTGTTGTTTCAATTTATCTTCATGTATCAGGTAGTATTTTAATTTAGTTTTGAGAGTATATTTTTTAATATTGCAAAAAGAGATTGTTTTTAATTTATTTTGAAGTTGATTCCAGTTCATTAATGCAGAGTATTTAAAGGATTGTTTACCATAGGATTTTGTATTATATGCTTGCACACTTAGTGCACCGCTACAAAAATTTCTTGTAAATCGACTGCTAATTGCACTGCGTGGAGTAAACCATTCACCAAATATAGGAGGCAGTTTTTTATTAAGGTAGCTGTGAATAAATAAACAATTTTCAATTTTGATTAAATCATGTACTTTTAAGATATGTAATGTGTTAAAAGATGTGGATGTATGTGAATTTTTTGGAAGAAATTCAATAATTCTGACAGCTTTTTTCTGCATAATAAATAGGCGATTAATAATACTCATATTTTGACTCCATGATAAAAGGCAATATGTGAGGTGAGAGTGAAATAAAGCATAGTAAATAAATTTTAAAGTTTTTTGTTGAATGAAATGTCTTAGCTTTGACAGAATGGCAAGGGATCTATTCAACTTATTAGAGATATCGTTATAATGATAAGCCCAGGTTAAGTTTTCGTCTAGCTTTTTACCCAAGTAGTTAAAAAATTTTTTACAACAAAGTTTTTTCCCATTTAATTTAACTTTGATCTGCTGGTCTAATTTTTTTGGGAACTTTTAAATAATATTAAATCAGTTTTTTTGGAGTTGAGGGAAATTTTGTTTGCATTAAACCAATTGCATAGTTTCTTAAGGTCATAGTTAACATATTTGTTGATTTTTTTTTACAGATTTATTAAAGTAGAGAAGGTTTGTGTCATCTGCAAAGTGTTGGACTCGAAAAAAATTTAAAGCTTTAGGCATGACATTTATATAAATAAGAAACAGCAAAGGGCCAAGGACAGATCCCTGAGGAACACCTACTTTAATATCGTTTAAGTTTGAGTTCACTCCACCAATAGATACTAATTGAGTTCTATTAGTATGAAAAGATTTAAATCAGGAGTTTGAAACTCCTCTAATACCATAGTAGGATAGTTTATAGAGTAGAATGTCAACATCTACAGTGTCAAATGCCTTTTGAAGATCAATAAAAATACCACATCTAAACACGTATTAGCGTAGGGAAGACGTGTTTAGTTGAAAAGTTGAAGATTAATAAAGATAGTTGAAAAAAAGAGTTGAAGATTATACAATAAAGATAATTGAAAAAAAAGTTGAAGATCAATAAAGATACCACATCCAAACACGTATTAGCGTAGGGAAGACGTGTTTAATTAAAAAACTTTTTAGAATTTGATATCAATATAGATTATTTTTAGAAACTAGAATAATATCTCCAATAACAATTGCAATATGCTACTACTTATTGTATCATGCATCTTTTTCTAAAAAAGTCTAGATTTTTTTTTAATGATTTACTGTTAATCTTTCAACTTTATTAAATAATATAAATAAAACATGGTCATATATAACTAATATATGTTAGCAACCTTATTCAACTTTTATGTATAATATATATATATGTATAAATATATATATTTACTGATATAATTGCCAAAAAATCGATATAAAAGAAAAAAGTTAGAGCGTTAGCTATCCAAACTGAGTTATGATGAAATTATAGATTCATACAAAAATTTGTCTAATGACCAACTTAATAATTTAGAAGAATAGTAGACAAAAAACTCATGAATGATATGATCCAAAACATCCAAGCCTGTTTTGTATAATGGCAGAGTAGAAAAAGTATTTAGTTGAAAAAATGACTTAGTTTGCACTATTTCTTACTGGAAAGATGATGAAACGTATATGGAAGCTGTTGACCATTGCATGAAAAAGATCCAGCTTGTTGCAGATGTTATTTCAGAAGAGTTACAATTTTATTAATTTCATATTATGTTAATAAAACACTGTGAAAGTACAAGTTTGAAATTTAAGCTAAAAAAGTACTACAAATGAATTGCTGAAAAATACTACCAATGTTGTGACTAGCTAAAAGAAATTTATTATTGTAATCATTCACTAAAAGCCAAGACAAAACTATATGAGATAAAAAATAAACAAACCATTATTATTTCTTTTTAATAACATTTCATTTATTTTTTAGTTTGAAACAGCCAAAACGCTATTTGAAAGATTTAAAAATTATTAAAGGTTGGTTAATAAAATGGATATCAAAACTGTAGAACATTGCATGAAACATTGCATTGCATGAAAAAGTTTCAGCTTGTTGCAGATATTGTTTCCAGAGACTTGACTAGATATTATTTAATTAAAACACTGCAAAAATATAAATTTGAAATTTATAGATTAAAAAACTGCAAGTGCTGTGACTTGTTAAAAAAAAAGTACTGCTAGTGTTGTGACTTGCTAAAAAAAAGTACTGCAAGTGCTGTGACTTACTAAAAAAAAGTATTGCAAGTGCTGTGACTTGCTAAAAAAAAGTACTGCAAGTGCTGTGACTTGCTAAAAATAGTACTGCAAGTGTTGTGACTTGCTAAACAAAAGTACTGCAAGTGTTGTAACTTGCTATGTATTTTTGATAGACTGCTCTGGCTTACCTTCACGTGGTGTCTATTGTTAAAAATGATTATAAAATAATTTCATTAGTGTAATTTATCATTGTAGTCATTCACTAAAAGAAAAAACTTTAAGAAATAAAGCATCATTAAAATAATCAAACATTGTTTAGTGTTAATAACATTTTTTTTGTTTTTTAGTTTGAAACAGGCTAACTTTTCGTTAACCAAACTAGTATCAAGCCCTATATAAAAGATTTGAAGATTTATAAAGGTTGGTAAATACCTTGTTTTGATTACTTTTTTACCACTATTGACTGATAATAGAACTCTGTATGAGAATATTTTAACCAAAAATTCTCCAATTAATCAAAAATGCTTTTTTTTAAAAAAAAAATGATTAGTTGGGGGAAAGGGGGGGATAGCCCCTCTCTTTTGAAAATGGATGCAACACTGATGTAACTTTTACCGGGTAAGATATATTTTTACTTCTTTGTTGTTGCTTTTTAAATAACCAATCAAATATTTCATAATTAACATTTTTTTGCGATATTAGGGTGTGTTAAAACATGGTCAACACATTTAACATGAGTTTTACACTTACCTTCAATGTTTGGTGGTTGTCCAGTATTAATTTATAGAACCTTTTTTACACAGAAAAAAACTTTGTTTTGGGACTTTAGGAAACAGTAGTTGTGTCATTTTAATTTTTTTTAAATTTTCTTTTTTTAGGTTGGTAGGGGGGGGGGGGTTATTCGCCCCTCCCATATATCGATGTAAACACCACTTAAATTCGTAATAGTACCACCACGTAAATTCTTGTAAAACATTATTTTATATTGTATACTAATTGAATTCATTTTAGTAAAGATAAAAATGTTTATGAAAACAAGTCTTATTTGATACTAGGGTGTATCAAACCATCACCACCACACCCACCTCTAACGTTAACATACGCCTCTCATATACTTTGGTGATTAAATATAATTTTATAACAGTGTTTTTGTATATTTAAACTACTTATGTCTTGAAAAAAGACTTTTTTTGTGAAAAAAATGTTTAGTTTCATACGGGTAAGGTGGTAGTATGGTGCCCCCTCTGTCCATCCGATTTACCCGGTGGTTAGAGTTTAACAAAAATTTGTAGCCCACTCTTACACATATTTTTTGACACCAAGATATTTGTATTTCGATAAGAATTAATAAAGTTATGACAATTTAAGTGAAGAAAAACATAATTTTGACCACTACTACTTAAACTGTCTTAACTTTTGAACCGATTGTTCGTTTTTGATAATTTTTTCACCTTTAAAATACTGTATTGGTCCTCTTTCTAATGATATATAACAGTAGAATATTTAAACAATTTGAAATTTTTACTCACGTACCTAACTTATTTTCAACAATAACAAAGTTTTTACACTGCCGTTTAAAATTTGCTTTTTTTCCTCTTTTATTCACATCTTCAGGAAAGGAATTGTCATTTAAATATTTTCTGACATCATTAAAGTTAACATTTTGTACATCTTGACAAAATAAGCTATATAAATTGTAAACTAAAAAGCCAGTAAAATTATAACGAGTGAAGTAAAATTTTAAAGTTAAAATTTTACTGCCTCAGTATAATTATTTTACCGCAAAGGAAGTTTGAACGGTTGAAAACTTCCGCGCAGTAAAATTTTAACGCAGTTATTTAAAAACGCTACACCGGATTTTTAGTTGTGACATGTTATTTGAAGTTTTAATAAGACGAGGTTGACCACAACACAGATTCAAAAAAAAATTTGTAAATCAGGATATATAGTGAGATTATAAATTGTGTTTAATGTGGAGTTAACCCATATTTTATGATTTTATTTATTTAATTAAAGATAACTTAACATTGACACAACATCATGACGATGATAATGATAAAATACATGAACCTGAACATTTATCAATGGTAAAAGAAGTTATTAATCAACGTGTTCAAAAAGGTTGTTTAAAGAGGCTGTAAGAAGAATTATTTTGGTTTGGTTGATGTCAATACTACTTATAAAACAAGGTAAAAAAATGCGATCTCTATCAAAAGAAAAAAAAAAGTATTTCTATTATTATTCAAAGTTTTAATTAATTTTAATTAATTTAAATTTTAATTAAATTAAAATTTAATTAAATTAAATTGTAATTAAATTAAAATTTAATTAAAATTTAATTGAATTAAAATTTAATTAAATTAAAATTTAATTAAATTAAATTTTAATTAAATTAAATTTTAATTAATTTTAATTAAATATGCCTAGCCATAGCAAGAACATAATACATAAAAATAAACGAATAGCGCAATTTACTATTGGAAGAGTATCTGTGTACAAAGTTGGGACATTTTGCTACACGTGTGGTATGGATATATTTAAAAAGTTAAAGAAATATTATTTTGTCTGATTTGATATTTTATACGTTTTGAAATCTGGTGACAATTAGATCAATTTATACAGCAATACCAAATTGCAAAATCGGTAAACAAAAATTTACAAAAAACCTTCATATTTAAAAGTATTTAAATAAAACATCCCATTAAAAAAAAATAAAAAAACATTTTAGTAAAGGGCATAACAAATTAAAGCGAACAATAATTAAAAAAAATAAATAAATAATGCAACTAAGATTGGGTCAAAATTCCCACTTTTTGGCGCGGATTATGGACAGCTCCTTCTTAAACATTTCAGTAAATATTTTATATACTAAAACATATAATCTTATACATAAATTACATTGATCAAAAACTTCCATTAAATCGAAAACATTTAAAAAAATACCTAATCACAATTCACAGTTTTATCTCCATTATGCTTATAAACAAATAAAAAAAATATTTGACAAGACAGTTTAGTACGACGCTCACGTCAACTGTACGCAATAACTTTTTACCTCATTGTGAAGCATTTTGAGAAAATTTCTTTCTTCAAATAAAAGATCTGCAAATTCATCAACAGATTTTTCGAAAATTGTTTTATAATACCTAAAAATTAGCGAATTTATTGTTCTGAAGAAAATTACAGCATTTTATTCATCTCCTACTCATTTTTACGACTTTTATGAACTTCTATGATTCAGTTTTCTATTATGTTTGCTATAAAATTTTGTAAGTCTGTTACTACGCGTCTCGGATTTTTTTTCAAGATTAGTTATATTTTGAACATTTGAAACAAGCGTTTTCAAGGTAGGAATACGTAAAGTATTTTTAACTTTTAGGCGACGTTTTTTCAATGGGTACATTATTTCCGACTCTGATGAAAGATCTTGTAATTTCTGCATGTAAGAGAGTGAATCAGGTCCTTCAAGATCAAACGTTTGTTGCAAAACAGGTTGCACTGACTGGTCAAGTGATACAAGAACATTGGCTTGATTTCCAAGCTGTGCATTTTCTGCTTCATTGTGTTGAAATTTATAATGATTATCATTTTTGTAAAATTGGTTTAGGTGTTCATGAAAAATGGGTTTAAATTTAGGCTTCAATTGTTCGCTAACTAATACCTCATACGGATTTTGTTCGACTTTTTCTACTAATGGCGTGCCAATTGGTGCATTAGGTAGAGGTCTCGAATAAACAACCGATTGGTATTGAGATGTTGTAAAAGGAGTTTGAATCAGTTTTTGCGTACTTGTTAAATGACTAGTAACAGCCGATGGAGAATGAGCATGAGTAAAATCAGTTGCATAGTTAAGGTGAGAAGAATCATAGCTAGGACCTATATGTGGATTATCTAAATAAGGATCAGATTCAAAAACTTGGTTATGATGGTTTTCTTCTTGATGATGCTGTTGATAGTGCAATAATTCTTCAGAATCTACAGTTAAAAATAATTCTAAACTAAGATTAAATGAACTTTTGACAGATTATAATTTACACAATTGACCATAATTAAGTATTATAATTATCATTGTTAACCATAATTAAAGATTATAATTAATATAGTTAAACATAATTAAAAACTATAATTAACATAATTAAACAAGATTAAAGATTATAATTAATATAGGTAAACATAATTAAAGATTATAGTTAATATATTAAACATGTAAAGATTATAGTTAACATAATTAATCACTTTTACTAATCTTTATTTATTTCGCTTACTTTTTTCTCACATTTTTTATTGTTCTTATTTTTCATTTCATTAAATTACCAATAGTAATCCTGAATTTATAATTCGCTAAAATTAGCAAGTGTGCACAACATATTTTTTCAAGAAATTACATATCTTATGTTTTATGTTAATAAGGTTATTTAGAAATTAAAACATTTTTATTTTATTAAGTTATTTAAAATATTTTTTGTAGATTTATTTTAAGTAAACCTGCGGCGCCTACATCTTCGTGACATTACCGGATTCTGACTAATTCTATAATGTATATTATGATGTAGGCTAAAAAAATAAATAAATTAAAAGCAAAGATTTATTAAAAAGATTTTATTTAAAAAAATTATTGAATTTGGATATTGCAATACGTAAAAGGCGAACTGCAAACAAGTTAAATGTGAACTTCTTCGCAGACTAAAAGAAATAAACTTAAACGACCACAAATATTTTATTTATTATATATATATATATATTATATATATATATATATATATATATATATATATATATATATTATTATATATATATATATATATATATATATATATATATATATATATATATATATATATATATATATATAATATATATATATATATATTATATATACATCCCTAATATATATATATATATATATATATATATATATATATATATATATATATATATATATATATATATATATATATATATATATATATATATATATATATATATATATATATATATATATTAGGGATGTACCGAAGCCGAAGCTTCGGCACTATATATGCTTAAAATTTAATCAGCATTTAGATCAGCGGGGTGTAAAACAAAAAAGGTACCAAAACTAAGGTCCTTGTCTAATAATATAGAAAAATTGTATAAAAATGAAGACGGCAGTCAGGGTTGCTGTCCCAGGCAGGACAAAAGCTCTCTGCGCCCCTGTTTGAAAGTTTCTCATTATGTCGTTTCTGATACTTGACCGCACCGAGCGTTTTTTTTTAAACTTAAGCTTTTTTGAAACATTCTCCCCAAATTTTTCTACTTCTAGTTCTACTTTTTCTGTGTGCAAACCATATTAATGTTATATAGCATCTTTTCATGTGCTGTATATTTTATTTTTAATGCACCTTTTGTTAATAGAAGTGGATAAAAATCTCTGAACATTACTAGAGTAAATTTATCTTTTGCACTTGATCACTCTTTCTTTTAATAAACACTCTTAGCTGATCTAGTTGTATCTACAACATAAAAAACCTTACAAACACACTTTATCTTTTTATTGCTATTTATTTCAATATCTTTTTTTTACTTCTCTGTATTCATTAAATGAACAATTTCTAAACTAAAAAAAAACCAAGTTAAGACCATTTTGTATTCCACTACAACTGTTATGAACCTGCTGCTAAAAAAAGTACAAATGATAAATTTCTCTCTAATTTCTTATTTACACACTTTTAAGTATTATTATTTTTTTGATTATTTTTAACTTTACACTACATAACATTTTCTTTAGCTTCTATTAATCTTTTACACTCTGAAATCTTAGTATTCATTCTTTTTCTGTCTCTGTAATGGATAAATCTGCATCAGTATCTGAAATCAAATATTAACTATCTGTGATAAAAGCTTCCATAGTAATATAACAACTCTTTAGAGTGAGCTTTAAATAAAATAATAAATACAATACTTTATAAATTTTATATTTATAATTATATTATTATTTACTTTATATTTATATAATAAACTAATAAACAGGGACTGAGCAGGCTGGTATTTATTTGATTTATATTGTTTATTTAATTTAAATAAATTTTGATGATAAATATAAGAGCTCAAAGTAATCAAAGCTTCAACCTTTAATTTATTTTAAATAAAATTTAAAAGTCTTCATAATATCATAAGAAGAAACTAGAATATAGGTTTACATGTTTAATATATAAATTCAATTTAGAAGTATTCATAACGTTAATAAAAGAGCAAGAATAATTATTATCATTGTTCTTCTTTTTCTTTTAATTTATCTAGTTTTTGTTGACTTCTTTTTTCTTTATCTATTCTCCTCATTTATATTTGCTTTCCTTCCTTTTTTTGTTGTTGAGAACTTTATGTTTTTTATGTGTCACTCCCTTGACTAGTTTGTATCTATATAAGCGACACCTAACCAATTTCTGTAAATTTACGATGAAAATATGTAAATTTTTATTGATATGGTTAAATAAAATTTGAAAAATTAAACAAACACACAATTTAAAGTAGTAGCAACGTATCTTTAATCTTCTTTAAAGTGAGATTACTAAGGTTTATAGGTCAAATGTTGAAACCAAATTTTGTTCTATTTGCGGTAATCCCACACAATTATTAATATGAATTCGTTACATAATACAAATTAAGGTTTTTTTTCCATTTTACCTTTAAAAACTTTTAATTTGTTTTAAATTATAAGGTTTTTATTCTGCATAGAAATGCTGATTCAGTTCATCTAAAGTCACACTTGGAAGCCTTCAAAGTGTATGAGGACCTTCCCTAATTTTATTATTATTTTCAAAATATTTTTACTTATTTATTATTATCCCCTCCATAACAAGAAACTTGGGAGTAAATAATACTAAGTATATGGTATAGTCCTGAATTTATAAATTAATTAGACACTGACAATTAGCGTATTTTTATAACTTGTACAACAATAGCTTATAACTTTAATTACTTAAATTTTTTTTGCCGAAGCCAAAGATTCGGCAAAAAATTGACCTAGCTTCGGCCGAACCGAAGCTTTGATACATCCCTAAAATATATATATATATATATATATATATACATATATATATATATATATATATATATATATATATATATATATATATAAATATATATATATATATATATATATATATATATATATATATATATATATATATATATATATATATATATATATATATATATATATATATATATACAATTTTTTGTCTTCACATGGCAAAATATCATGTAACAAAAATTTAAAAAATATCTTGAAATACCAGTTATGTACATGACTGGCATTTCAATATATTTTTAATTTTGTTCAATGGTTGTTTTTATTATTAACTATTTTACTCTGAAAAATTACTATCATGCTTATTATCAAATTTATCATTAATTTATTCAGCTAAATTTTTTTTAATCTTTGCTTGAGCATTTGAATTATTTAAATTAAGAAAAAAAAAAAAAGAACTATAGCATTATATATTTTTTAATTTTTAGTTTTTTGGTGATGTCAATGTATTCAAATTACTTAAAAAGATTACTTTGTTTACCTAAAACTTCAAGTTTTTGGTGACTCGAATTTGGACCATCGTAAACAACTTTTGCAATAGAACGATCAGGACCAAATGGTTGGTATGGAGCATTTATTATGGGTGAATAAGCCAAGCCAACACCATTACCAGGCACAACGTTGCCTTCATTAATTGCTGTTATAACAGGATTTTGGTAAAGAACAGGAGATTCTAAATCTTGTGTTCTTGACGTAAACTGCAGTGGATCAGCTATAATTTTTAACGAACCTACATCTTGGTTCTCATAACAAGCAAAGCATATTTTTGAAGCAACTAGTTCATTTAGTTTTGTTTGACCCAAGCCACTTAAAATTCTTTTACGACATGCTTCACAACGTTGTTGGATAGCTTATAATCAATAAAATTTAAAATAAACAAAAATCATAACAATATCACAATATAAAAAAGCCTGGGTAATGAAAAGCCATACTGGCTAGAAATTAAAAAAAACAATAACTTTACATTTATTTTATTAATACTGTAATTTTTTATAACTGTAATTTATAAAAGATTTGCTATCAATTATTGTATTTGAAAGCAAAGTTTTAACAGTTATAATGAAAACCATAATATTAAAAAAACACGTCAAATATTCATCATTTTACAATTATAAAAAACCTCATCTAATTTCTTAAAAAGTTTTTTACCTTTTTTTAGTTTTAGAGAGAGTTGTAGACTTTTATTTAAAACTCTCACACTCTCTTCTTATATATATATATATATATATATATATATATATATATATATATATATATATATATATATATATATATATATATATATATATATATATATATATATATATATATATATATATATATATATATATATATATATATAAATTTAGAAATTACGCATTTAGAAAAAAACTAAATTAAAAAATAAAACATTGATAGGAAAAAGTATTTGTAAAAGATCTTTTGAGTTTTTACAAACTTTTTCATAATTCTTCAAAAATATTTATTCAATAATGTTTGTAGGCATTTAATTTAACTTATTTTGTAAAAAAGTCAAATTTGATTTTTTTACTTCAGGGCGCTTTGAAAAACGACTGCAGAACTATTTGAGTAACAATTAAAAATTATAGAAGCATGTATTTATGTTAAATTTTCAACATTTAAAAATGCTTCAATTTAATAGTTTTTAATAGTATATATTGGATAATTAAGATATTACAAAAGTATTTTGTTTAATTAAATAAAAATAAAAAAACATTAATCAAATAAAAACATTCTGAAAAAGTCATAAAGTTAAAAAAGTTCAGTGGGATTAGACTTTTATTGAGATAAACACTTTTGTTACGATTATAACTCATAAATCGTGCAATTAACAAGTCTTTTGTTTATGTTAAACATAAGCAATTTTTCATGTTTGTAGAGAGAATTGTAAATGTTTTAAAGTAAATTTTGATTTTGAGTCTCACACTTGAAAATTTTTGATTTTTATAAAAGTTAAATTTTTAATAATAAATGACCAGAAAATGAGAACTGTCTGTAGAAAAATAATCCGAAATGTTCACATTCACAGTGACAAGAAAAATATTTAAAAAGCAAAATAAATCTCAATGTTTTAACTTTATCAGCATAGAATATTATATAATAGAAAGAAAAAACTGTAATGTGGTCAATCAAAAAATGATTGAGATATTATCAAATTCTATTCGCAACCAAAGATAGAGAAAACAAAAGCAAGAACACATACTACAATAGTTTTCAAAGAACTTCAATACCTGTAATAACAGTGAAAATATAATTGAAAGAAGCAGGGGTTGTTGGTTGAAAGGAAACCTTTAGTCCAAAATTAGGAAAAAAACAAAGTAGACAAAACTACACAATATATATACCATCAATGTCTGGAAACATTTTATTTGGTTTTGAATTGATTACGATTTGAAGTTTAAAATTTTTATTTACAAGGGAAGAGTGTTTGTTCTAAAAAAAAGTTGGTTAAAACAGTGTTTAGTGCCACTTTCACAGGTGAAAATAAAAGAAAAATGATGAAAGAACTGTATTAAACATAACTAAATGATGAAAGAACTGTATTAAACATGCATTAAATAAATAAGAAGTAAACATTTTATGACAAAATTTTAACATTTTAAAATTGTAAAATCTTCAAGAAATCAGATTCTTGGGGAGTGGTTAAATTTAAAAAAAAAATAAAGCATTTCTAAAGCATTCCTAATATTTAAGATGATTTTCAAATATTTAGATATTTTTTTACAAAATGTTTATAGGATTGAGAAGAAATGCCAAAAAATTAATACCTAATGGTGCAGAAGATTTTGGGGAAAATTAGGCAAGAAGTTTCGCATTCCATCCCCACCTTGTCCTTGGTAGTACCACACTTAATTTGTTTCTCTGCACCGAGTCATTGTTCGCAAGGATTGAGTTACTGAGTATTAGAGTTGAGAGAGGGTTGTAACACAACAAAGTAACCTCCTCAATTGTAGTGGCCTTTTTGGGCTTGGGGAGGTGAATAAAATAAAACAACAACAACAAAAAAAAAAACATTTTAATTTTTTCATGAGTATATATAGAATGAACAAACTTGAAATATTTAATTATGATAGACTAGTAATATCAACAAATTTATTATGAAAAAATAAATAACTACTAAACATTTGTAAGCCAAAAAAATGCAAAAATTTTTTATATTACATTTACAAAAAACAGATTTTATTTACCTGTTTTATTCAAATGCTTGTTTACTGAGTTCAATTCGCTAACTTTTTCATTTTTTTTCTTTTTCTTTGCTATATATGCATACCAACCTAAAAAAAGTTGTCTTTTTTAAACAATTTCTTTGATAAATTGTAAATAAAAACATTTAAAAACAAACTTCAATAAAAAAAAATATTATGACAAAAAAACAGTATCCAAACCTTTTTTGATTTTATTGTAAAGACTATTAGTTGCAGTTATCAACAGATTTTCATAGTCAGTAAAAAGTGTGTGACCTAATATAGGTATTGAAGCTATTTGCAATAATAGAGTGTCTGTTTTAAACATTTTTCCGATACCAACAGCAAATACTTCAACACCTTTAAAAAATTATAAAATTTAAAATTCAAATAACTTTTAAACTAGTTTTTAAACAGTTAACTGGGCCATGACGTTAAACTGATTCTGTATTGGGGGATTGGTTAAATGGGGCAGATTAATCTAAAAGAAACCATCGTTCTGATATAAAACCCTCAATTAAAATGTGGATAAGGATAGAAGTTCATTAATCTTGAGTGATAATCTTTTTAGTGGTAATACCACAAAATAAATTTTTTTTCGTTTTTCAAAACTAAAATTTCAAATGTCTTAATTTGCAAAACTGGTTACTTCAGAAAAAGTACCCAATAATGAAAATTGATTCTTATCATATTGCAATAAAAATATGGCATTATGGAATTTTTTCTAAACTATACAAGTATACTAAAACCATGGACATTATAATTAAAAAAAAATTTAAATAAGCCAACTAGTAGCTTAGTCAAAATAAAACTCCAATCAACCACTACCCACACTTTCATTACTATAAGGTGTAAAAAACAAAACAAAACAAAAGGGAAAACATTGGTAAAGCAAAGCAAACCTTGACTTTTTAATTTGTCAGCTATCTCATCTGCATTTTGTGAATAATGTGGAATTCCACCAAGAATAATGCAAAGTTGTTGTACGTTACTCCTTTTCTGGTCAGTTTGATAAATATTTTGATCAACAAATTTTAAAGCACTTGTCAGATTTCCTGTATCACCCATGTATCTTTAGTAAAAACAAAAACCATTAACAAATATTTTTTATAATTAATTTTCCTGTATCACCCATGTATCTTTAGTAAAAACAAAAACCATTAACAAATATTTTTTATAATTAATTTTCCTGTATCACCCATGTATCTTTAGTAAAAACAAAAACCATTAACAAATATTTTTTATAATTAATTTTCCTGTATCACCCATGTATCTTTAGTAAAAACAAAAACCATTAACAAATATTTTTTATAATTAATTTTCCTGTATCACCCATGTATCTTTAGTAAAAACAAAAACCATTAACAAATATTTTTTATAATTAATTTTCCTGTATCACCCATGTATCTTTAGTAAAAACAAAAACCATTAACAAATATTTTTTATAATTAATTTTCCTGTATCACCCATGTATCTTTAGTAAAAACAAAAACCATTAAAATATATTTTTTATAATTAATTTTCCTGTATCACCCATGTATCTTTAGTAAAAACAAAAACCATTAACAAATATTTTTTATAATTAATTTTCCTGTATCACCCATGTATCTTTAGTAAAAACAAAAACCATTAACAAATATTTTTTATAATTAATTTTCCTGTATCACCCATGTATCTTTAGTAAAAACAAAAACCATTTAAAATATTTTTTATAATTAATTTTCCTGTATCACCCATGTATCTTTAGTAAAAACAAAAACCATTAACAAATATTTTTTATAATTAATTTTCCTGTATCACCCATGTATCTTTAGTAAAAACAAAAACCATTAAAAAATATTTTTTATAATTAATTTTCCTGTATCACCCATGTATCTTTATTAAAAACAAAAACCATTAACAAACATTTTTTATAATTAATTTTTCATGAATATTCAATTACTTATAATTTTGTTAATAAAGTTTCTGACTGATTTGAAATGTATGAACATATTACAACTTTAAAAATGAATTTGTTTTCAGAAAAATTATCTTGTTAATTTCTGATTTGCATATGTAATATTTCTGGAATTTTATTCTCGAAAAAATTTGTTGAATCAGCATCAATTAAAACCAACCAATAAAAAGAATTTACTTAATTGAAAGATAAGATTATTACGATGATTGTCATGGTTGTGTTCTGATTTATAAAAATTATATATATATAAAAAAAAAACCACCAACAACAACAAGCAACATTAAAGCTATTTCAATATAAAGATTTTAAATATTTTTTTTTTATTCTTTTTTATAAAAAAAATATTCAGGCTCACTTCATAGCTGAAATTCCTAATTGAACTTTTTGTTGATCCTTAGATAGCTGGACATCCATTTGCTGAAATTGTCCAAAAGAAACTACTCCCACAGAAACCTTGCTGTCATTCATCACCTTAGAAATAAAATCACCCATAAATTGTTGGATTAATGTAAACTCAAGTTCATCAACTGCACTCGAAACATCAACTAGCAGAATCAAATCATGAAATTTGGAAGGTGCTAAAAAAATAAATAAAAAAATCAACTTTGTATTTACTTTATGATGAAATTTTTTTAGGAAGACACAATTATGAAAAATAAATTATATTTACTATAAATTATTCATAATTTATGAAAAATAAATTATATTTACTATAAATTATTCATAATTTATGAAAAATAAATTATATTTACTATAAATTATTCATAATTTATGAAAAATAAATTATATTTACTATAAATTATTCATAATTTATCAAAAATAAATTATATTTACTATAAATTATTCATAATTTATCAAAAATAAATTATATTTACTATAAATTATTCATAATTTATCAAAAATAAATTATATTTACTATAAATTATTCATAATTTATCAAAAATAAATTATATTTACTATAAATTATTCATAATTTAATAGAAGTTTAAATAATAGTTCAAAAATAACTATGCATAAATTCCTCACATTTTATATTTCCTGCAGAAATCAATTTTTCTTCTGATAAGACCTTTTCTATTTGGTCTTGAGAGAGCAACAAATTTGTCATATTTAATACCAATTTCAATATATTCTTCTCAATCGATAAAAGTTGACCTTTATTCTGTTTACCTTCTGAATTATTTTCAGTCAGTGAATCTAACAAACCTCTCTTTTTTCTTGATCTACTAATTTCATTATTAGATGTGTTGATTTGAAATTTAGATTTATTTTTTTCTTTTTGATTATGTGTTCCATACTTTTTAGACATTCCTTTTTTATGTTTCTTATATGTTGATTTTTTTTTTTTAAAAAACAAATAATCCTTTTCATTTCCCAGGGTGTTATTTTTTTTAGTGTTAGCATTTTCTGTTTCTTGTATTACGCTCTTGTCTTTATTTGCTGTAGCACCACTAACAGAAAATCCTAAAAGATCTGTCACTGTATCAAACTTTTTTTCAGAGTATAATGCTTTAAATAAATCTGAAGCAGGTATAGTTTCATTGAAATTCAAAGAAGGAACTGGAATTGTTTCATTACCATTTTCTAAGTAATAAAAATGCTCTGTTGTTAGATTTTCTGAACTTTTATTCAATGCCATTGACTTAAGTAATTCAATTTCTGACATATTGTAACTTTGTGATGCATTCAAATCCACATATCCTTCCTCAATCTGTACACGTTCAACTGGCTCATTTTTAGGCAACAAATTAGTCTCATTTTTCGAAAACATTACATCATTTGAAGAAAAGGAACTTGAAAAATCTTTTGCATTTGAAATATGTGGAGAAGTATTGCTTTTTATTTTAGATTTGTATAAAAGTTTTTCATCATGATGGTCGTCCTCATCTGATGGATTTCCTTCTAGAGGCGATTCAAACTTGATTACATTTAAATGTCCTGAAAAACCTTTGTTTATCTTCTTTGAATGTTTGCGCCTAAAGTCAGCTGTCACCTTCCTTAACTTTTTAAGGATTGCATAGCTAGATTTTAAACTCTGTTGTTGTTTTTTCTTTTCTTCTTTAACATCTGAAGATTGTTTTTGTTGTGATGCAGAATGATGTTTAACTTTACTGATTAGATCAAAGATGCTTGCTTTGTCAACAATAAATTCTTTAGTTTTACATTTAAAACTAGGAATGCAGCGTTTTTCATAATTTCGGTCTGAACCTTCATCAGGGTATGTGAGTTGATTTTTTATAGGTACAGCATAAATAGGGCCTCCATGCTCATGCTCACCAAACGTTGAATGTGGATTTTGCATTTGTATAATAGCAGTATTATCAAAGTAACCATTTGGGTGATAGCCATTATGCATTTGACTGGTAGTTAAAATCTCATATGGGTTCTGCCCATGACATGGTGGTGGAGGTTTTATTATTACAGGAACAGGAAGAGGACTTTTGTGCTCACAATCTCTTTCATAATGTATTTCACCATGGTATGGACCTTCACCTCCTAAACCAGATTCACCATGATGCCCTAAAAAAATTTAACAAATTAAAATATAAGATCCTAAAATTGTGTATATATGTCTATACTGTTTCCTTGTGTGTGTGTATATATATATATATATATATATATATATATATATATATATATATATATATATATATAAAAGATCCTAAAATTGTGTATATATGTCTATATACACAATTTGTTTCCATTATATATATATATATATATATATATATATATATATATATATATATATATATATATATATATATATATATATATATATATATATATATATATATATATATATATCTATATATATATATATATATATATATATATATATATATATATATATATATATATATATATATATATATATATATATATATATATATATATATATATATATATATATATATATATATATCTGTGTGTGTGTGTGTGTATGTGTGTGTATACAAGGAAACAATATAGACATAAGGTCTCTATTGTATATATATACATGTATATACTAATAGAGACTTAATAATAAAAAAAAAAAAATAGAAATGCAATTAAAAAATGTAAGAAATGTTTTAAAAAAGATAAAAGGAACTAGATTGAAAACCAGATTAAGGAAATGGTTTGGTTATTCTAGATAAAAAAATTTATGACAACGGTCTCTACAAAATTATTAATGATCCATCCAAATTTAAAAAACTTAAAAAAGTTGTCAAAATAAAAAATGTAAATCTAGTTCCTTTTAACATTACCGTAACTTTTATTTTTTAAAAAACATTCGTTACATTATTTAATTGCATTTCCATTGTACATTTTATTATAAGGTCTCTATTAGTTCAACTTAATTTTACTAACTTAATTTAAGCATTTTAACATATTTTAACTAATGATGGTTATGATATAGTCAAAACATATATTTTATAAAATAAATGATTTTAACGAAAATTGAAAAAAATTGTCTTATTTATTAGAATATTTACACATTTTGTGCTGATTAGAAACTTTGAAAACCATCTGGATTCACCTAAGATAAAGGTTTATCTTTGTCAACTCAGAGTAATTCTTAAATTTCCTCAAATCAGGAAGCAAAAAACCAAAACAAAGAAAAGATTAGAGGCTGTGATTAGTGGGAAAAAAAATCAGAACTATGGTTGCATATTACTATGGTTACATAACCATAACTAAAACTATGATTCAAGAATTGCTTTAGTTTAAAGAACTTTAAAATTATTTTGTTTTTCAATAAACCTTAAGTAAACAATTAAATAGCAAATTGCGTTTGAAAATTGTGTTAATTGAAACTTATTGGGTTAGTTGAGGGGTAGTGATGATTTTGATGATTTGATGATTGATGGGGGTAGTGATGATTTTGATGATTTGATGATTGATCACTATGATGTTAATGGTGATCATGGTAATAATCATGGACTGCTCATGATCTTTAAATTATGATCTAAAATTATAGCTCTAATCTGATTAACTATAGAAACAATTAAATCATTGATATTGCCTTTAACTCTTTTTGTAAACATTTTGAAGAATATCTGAAATACTAATTTTTGCTACCACTGATTAAGTTTTAAATAATTTTTCACATCTTGCTTTATTTCACATCTTGCATATTGCATTAAAAAAGATTTTCAGCTTCTTCAAATTTTTTTTTTTTTTTTTTAAATTTATTTTAAGAAGAGTTTGCCTTCAATATTCCTACCTCGTTGACCAATGTGTTGTGGATCCATATTTGGTCCACAATAATATATTGGGTGTGCTTCAGATGGATGAGCCATGCAATGTTCACCTCCAAAATCATGCCCGTGCTCTTGTTCTCTGTAGCATGAGTCACCATGATGGCAGCCTAAAATAAAAGCTACAACTTAATTTTTCTGTTTTTTTATTTGTACAATCATTTATTTTTTATTTCATTTCAGCATTCATTTCATTCATTAATAAGAAATTAAACTAATAAATCACATTAACTTTTAAGAACTCTATTATAAGTTTTGTATAAATCATAAGTTTCCCATAAATTCTAAGTTTTTGCATAAATTATATACATAATTTTTATACATTCATGCTCGTGATCTGCTTCATCAGAATGATGATGTCCATGGTTGCAGCAATGATCACATTCTTCATGATTGTGATGTTCTCCACAATGGTCACTATCATCATTATCATCTCCATCACAATGATGATGAAAAGGCTCACCACTATGATAATCAGGACAATGTTTACAGTGTCCTGAATGAGAAAAACTGTTCAGGAGTTCAGGACTGTGAAGTAAGCTAAATTATAAACATTAATATACATAGTTTGTTTTCTACAAAATTTTAATAATCTTGAACAATTTATTTTAAGAAATTTACCCAAATGAATGAAGTCCTCTGCTGTATAAATCACATTTTCCACCAATGCATTTTTGATGTTTCCAATTTACAACTAATTGTCATATAATTTGTCATAAATATATAAATAAATTGTATAAAATAATTAATGAAATAAGTTGGTTAAAAAATTTTAAATAATTTTTAGTAAATGTTTTAGATATAATACTAAAGCATGCAAAAAATAATTTAAATAATTACCTGGAGGTCTATCACAAGAGATACACATTCTTGTCTGCAAAGCATACGAGGCAAATGGAAAAACTTGCATAAATTGATGCTTATTACTGTATGGAGATTGTGGAGGGCGAATATACTTTTGAACAACATGTTTAGGCTTTACATACTTTTTTGAAAGTTGTGTCAAAGACTGAGCTGGCTGGTGTAATGTAAGATTGACCTTTGATATAAATGATGAACTACTTTTTTTGTCGCTATTTTTACCATTGTTTACAAAAATTTTTTTTTTGTATTTTTTTTTCCCCTTCTTATGATATTCATTAATTTTCAAACTTTCTTTTATGTTATTTACAATAGTAAAATTTTGATTTGATTCTTTTTTAACCTTATTTTTGTAGTTTTTTTTACTTAAAACTTTTGTATCACTTTCTTTTAATGTATTAGTTTTGTTATAAAGTCCATTTTCACTTTCTCCTGACTCTCCGCTATCTCCACTGTAGATCTCTTCTTCTGTTTCCTGAGTAGTACTATCATTTGTGTTTCTATTTGATGATTGTGCCAGCATTGTTGTTGGTAATATTTTTGTAGAATTATGGTGAACTTGCATTTTTTCATTTTTAATATTACCTTTTTTCTCATTTAATTTGATTCCTAAATTATTGTTTTCAATAACATTTTCAAGAACAAGTTCATGGTCAGAGCTTTTACTTTCTATTCCAGAATCAAAATCATTTTTCCAATCATTTTCTTTATCACTATTTTTTCCAAGATCATCAAAAAACTTAAATATAACTGGGAGTTTTTTTATAACTGAATATTTTCCTTTCTTTATTAACCCGCCACTTTTTAAGATGTCATCTTTACGATCACTATACTGATCCATTTTATTTAAGTCTAAACCTTCGTAGATTGCATTGTCATTATAATTTTTATTGTTAGTCGAGTGTTCAATTCCTTCTAACAAATTTGCATTTTCTGAAATCAGACCATTGTATAAACTGCCACCATTAGTTACAGGAGAAATTGGAGTGTTTAAAATTAGATTGTTAGCAACACCATTGTTAAAACCATGTGAAACTTGAGGCCCTAGGGGATAAAAATCTCTGAACTTTGAACCTTGAAAGGAATTTTGCCATGGTAACACAACACTTGGCGTTTCAGAAGCTTCGTTCTGGAGAATCTTATCAAGAGATAGTGTTGTTGGTTGAGCTCTGAAATGAGCTTCATCTTCATATGGAGTTAAAAAGTTAATAGGAACAGAATTTTCAACTGAATCAACAATTTTCATGTTAGGAGGATAATGATTGGAATTTAAATTTGGAACAGCGGGATTATTTGAAACTCCAACTTTAAAGGAATTTACAACATGATTAATAGGTCGTATTCTTATTTTTTCTGTGTAGAGTCCAGGATTAAGAACAGGATGATTAACAGGATAAATGTCAGGATTAATTGCAGTATTAATTGCACCAAAAGTATTTGAATTGTGACAAGGTGGCACATACGGTATGTCTACACCATCAGCAACTGGTTCACAATTTTTGTTATAAAAGTTTTTACTATTTACATCAAAATAATTTGGTTTAGAATGCATTTGTAAGGATGAAGGCCTTTTTATTTTAAACACTGAATTTGAAATTGGGATGGTTTCTTCCATAGACTTATTAAAATGAATTGTAATTTTCTCAGGAGATAAACTTTTATCCTCAATTACAGGTATTGGCTGAGGGGCAAGGCCAATGTCATCAACAGCACCTGACTCTATGTTATATGACTCAGATGTCTTATTCAAATTAAATTGTTTACTCAAAAAGCTAGAAGTTGTGATACCTGAATTTGTTTCAAAAGAAAAATTATCATTAGGCAGCGTTTGGTTTGTTGTTTTTTCTATTTGTTTTCCAATTGTGTTCCCAAGTGGCAATAAAGGTCTGTAACTAGCAACATCAAAATGTGATTCAATGTTGTTGATGTGCTTTTGCGAAATTGCTTGTGCATTTTCCAAAGCACTTATGAGGTCTTCTTTTGTTTCTTGAAGATTACTACTAACATCAGCAATTTTGTTTAACTCAAGGTCGTTCTCATCTTTTTCAGTGGAATTGTTTAGCTCTTTGTCAAGATTGTCTTTTTCTTTATCGTTGCTTTTTAAATCGACCATGTTATTGTGGTCATTTATCTGTGATTTATTTAACTTACTGTCAATTTCCTTCAACTTAACTAAATATGGAGATAAACGATGGATTAAATCTTCGTATTCTTTTGAACTGTTTTTTTCAGCTGCAGCTGACAATTGTTTTAATGCTATTTCAAGGGATTCTAAATTTTTACTTGAATCTTTTTCTACCTTTAGCTTCTGCTGCTTTTTACTTTTTTTATTATTTGCAATATTTGTTATTTCAAGATCATCATGAACCTCTTTTTTAAGCATGTGCTCTAACATTTTGCTATCATCGCTATTAGCTAGGTACTTGTTAATTATATAATCTTCATCTATGGCTGGCTCTTTTAATTGATGCCAGTGATTTGGAGAAATGTGATTAGGATAAAATGATTCAGGTGTTTTCAAGTCAGATGAATGTAAGAGGTTGCCCTTTTGTAAAACTAGATATGCTTTCTTCAAAAAATTAAGTTGTGTATCATAATTTTTTGAGCGCTTTTTTGCTTTCTCAAACTTTAATGATAAAGGACTTTTATACTTATGAACATGATTCTTGTGTTCACTATTTTTTTCATTTATAAGACTATTGTAAATATGAACAAGTCCATTAATTGTACGACGTACTTGGTTACGTCGAGTCATATCATGGGCATGCTTTTTTTTCAAGTGAAAAAATAAATTTTCCCTTTTTTCTCCACTATTTGCTATATCTTTTAAAAAATGTTTAAAAGATCTTAAATGATCTACATCAAGTGGCTCATCGCGTTTGTTGTCCTGGTAATCATGATTCTGCTGAAATCTTTCATTGCTTTTTACTCTATGGTTTTTATAAAACTGTTTATTGCTAAAACCATCATCAGATCTTGCATGAAGATGAAAAGCATCTTTTTCATTTAACTCATGAGGTAAATCTTCATCAAGATCATCGTGGTAATTTAAATTTCTCTCATCTGAATACTTTACATCATCTCTACTATTCTTTTGTGGATGATGATAACCATGTTTAATTTTATCTCCATTTCCAAATTCTGGGTTTTGTTGATTGTACTCGTGGTCATCATAGTCATTACCTGGAGTATGAATATCATAAATGGGAGTAGCTTCTTTTTCAGCAGTAGAAAACTCAGGTTCATTTTCATAATCATAGATTTTTGAATTAGGTACTTGCGTTAACTCTTCTTCCTCATTCCATTTATCATCTTCCATCTTCCTTCTATTTTTTCCATAGTGGTGCATTTCTTCATGTAAAATTTTATCTACATCTCTCTCTTTACTAAAAATATCACTTATTTGGGGATCTTTTGACTTTACTTTATGATATTCGTTTTGTTTATTGTCAAATTCGTTTTGTTTATTGTCAAATTCATTGCCATCATAGTCTTGTTTAAAACTTTCTTCATTTAATTTTGAACTTTCTTCATCTAGTTTTGAACTTTCTTCATCTAGTTTTGAACTTTCTTCATCTAGTTTTGAACTTTCTTCATCTAATTTCGAACTTTCTTGTTTTGAATTTTCTTCGTCTTCTTTAATATTGTCTTCATCTTGTTTTAAACTATTGTCATCTATTTTTGTATTTTCTTTATCTAGTTTTGTATTTTCATCATCTGTTTTTTCTTTGAATTTTTTATCTTCTTTGTCTTCTTTACTTTTCCCATCATTTATATTTTCATTGAACAACCAATCAAACTTAGAAACACCTCTGCTTGTTGATTTTCGAGCATCACTAAGTAGTGAGCGTACTTTAGAATTATTTATTACAAGTGCACTTGGCTTAATTTTACGAGAACTCAAACCAGAACTCCATTTTATATCTTCTTCTTTAAATATACTTTTGTGTAAGTCTTTAGCTAAAGGGTTTGAATTAATAGCACTCTCTCTAGATAGTTCAGATTTACTGGGAGCTACATCAATACCCAATTCTTGCTCTTTGCTCCTAGTTGTCCCTGCTACTATTGCATGATTAGCTGTATTTATCATAGGAATATTTATTGAATCATCTGATACTGGATTAAAATTTGTAAGGGAAAAACTTTCTTCAGTTTTGTCATCATGTTTAAATATTTTGGGTGATTGAGTAATAGAATTTTGGGAGGAAGTTCCAGGTAATTGAAGTATAGAAGATTTACCACCACCATTCAAATTCAAGTCAAACACAGTTGTTTTTGTTCCTATTTGTGAAGATCGAAGTAAAGGTAAGCCATTTAAAGTTGGACCCAACATTGGTGGCAATGGACTGAAAGATTCTGGTTGAGCAGCCCTCATATGTGAAATATCAATTCTTTCCATGCTTCCAGTACCATCAGTCCCAATTATTTCTGGAAGTTCTGCTCTACTGACAAAATTATTTTTCACTGGATTTTGAACTTCAATAGCAGTACTAATATCATCTACAACAGAGTGACTGAAAGGGATAGAATTCTTTCTTTTCCCAACAACAGAAGTACTAGACTTCATTTTGATAAGGTTTCGAAGCTTTTTCAGCTTACTTACTGAAGTTTTTTTAGACACAAAGCTACGAGAATTTTTTTTTTCAAAAGAAAGCAAAGATTCTTGATTCTGAAATCTTGAATCAACATTTCTAAAATGGCTTGGGAGAGCAGAAGCAAAATCATGAAACTGATTAATAATTGAATAAGGGGTTATTTGGTGGTTTTTGAGAACTTTATACCCTCTTTTGTTCTTTTTGTTTACATTACCTAGTATTTTTTTAATTGTTTTTTTATCAGCTACTTGACTCATTTCATTTTCTAAATCTCTCTTTTTTCTGTACAATACAACACTTTCTAACTGCAAACTTTCTTTGGAAGTTTTTCCAATATCAGCAGTTTCATCAGATGATGAAATGTCCAAATGACGATCATGAGTCTTTACATCATTGTTACTCTGCTGTGAATCTGGAACAGAATCATTTACATGTGCAAGAAAATCAATATCAGTTGTTTTACTTTTCATCATTAAAACTGCACTGCTGTTGAAAATTTTATTTGTTTTTTCAAAGTTATTATTAAATGATGATTTAGCCAGATGATTGGTTACTAGGTGATCAGTAATATTTGACTCTTCTTTTTGTTTATTTATTTCATTGTTTTTTATTTCATTGAATGTTTTATTGGTAGAGAAAGTTCCTACAAAAAGATATTTTAAAAGTGAAAAACTGTTTAAAGTTTGTCATTAGTAAATTCTTTGCCATCATCATCATCATCATCATCATCATCATCATCATCATCATCATCATCATCATCATCATCATCATCATCATCATCATCATCATCATCATCATCATCATCATCATCATCATCATCACCATCATCATCACCATCATCATTATCATCATTATCATCATCATCATCATCATCATCATCATCATCATCATCACCATCATCATCATCATCACCATCATAATCATCAACATCATGATCATCATGATCACCATCATCATGATCATGATCATGATCACCATCATCATGATCATGATTACCATCATCATGATCATGATCATCATCATCATCATGATCACCAACATCACCATCATGATCACCATCATCATGATCATCATGATCATCGTCATCATCATGATCATCATCTTCAAGAGTTTAAGTTCAAGTTTTATCTTAAAAAATATTTTAATTCTGGTTTTTGATGGTGCATCAAATTAGATCAAAAATATAATTAAAAGAGATTATCCTGTTCTACAACTCAATCTTTATTTCCCATTTAATTATAAATTGTTATTTCATAGAACATATAACAGGGGATGATCTAGAGGGTATTCTGTGATGCCCAGGTTTCACCCTTAATATTGCAATAATTTATAAATCCTCTTAATAATTAAAAAAAAAAGAGAGTAAATTTATAGTAAACAAATATATATATATATATATATATATATATATATATATATATATATATATATATATATATATATATATATATATATACATAGACATATATAAAAGAAAAATATCAACAGCTTTGATGCTATTAATTAAGCAATTTTAGACAAATTAAAAAAAAAAAAGCTTTTTAGAATAATTTTGTTTTGTTTATCCTAAATAAAGGATTCATTTGACCTATTTATATGGTTGACAGCAAATAATAATTGCAGAAACATTTGATCAAAAGAGTAAAGTATTTAAAAATTAATTGATACATGATTGATATGCAAAATTAATTTATACATGGCAAACTAGATTGGCTCAAAAACATAGAGGTCTAGATGTTTTCACTCTACAGAAAAAATAACATACAATGAAGGAAGAAATTTTAGTATTGACACATTTTCTAAAGCCTTTTGTTTTTAAATCTTATGACAAATTTTTCCTTAATTAAATTAAAAACAATGTGCATAAACTGCTTATCAAGCAAAGGAAAGAATCCAGAAATGGAGGGCTAACTTTAGGCAACATGAAAATTATCAAATAAAGTGCTAATTGCTATGACTTACTTCTCTTTGGTGCACTTCATCAAGTGAGTTAGATGAGTCTTAAATGTTAAATTTACCAACAGAAAAGCCTAGGCACCACTTTTAACTAGTTTATTTTAGATAAAAAAGTAAAATCAATAAGTAATTAGAAGACTGACTTTTTTGCCCTGATAGTTGGAAGAAACACCATTAACCTTTCCCCCCCCCCCATCCCCATCTGTTGACTCCCCGTCTACTAGCTAGAGGGGGTTGCTTTAAAAATAAATTAAATAGGCATCAATCATAAAAATCCCCTGTATAAAGTATATGAAAAGTATACACAACATAAAAAAATACAAATCAAACCTTCTTTAGCTAACTTAAGAGCTTCTATTCCTGGACCTTCTGTTTCACGAGAAAGGTCTAACTTCACTTCATTAACATTGCTTACATGGTTTGTGTAATGTTGTTCCTTTATTATTCAAAATGTTGATAGTAAAAAAAATAAAATTAACTATTAAAAAATTTTTTTTTTATGATAATATCAAAAAAACAAAACAAAAAAACAAACATCAAACCTGTGAAATATGAGTAACATGTTGAGGTATTTGAAATAATGACCTATCTCCAAATAACACTGTATTTGAATGAGATTGAGAATAATTTTCATTTGAAGAAAAAATATGAAGTGAATCATCCTTTTTAAATATGTCAGACAAGCCATTCTCTAAAAAGTAAAAAAAACTACTATCTGCCACTTTTCTTGATTTTAATTAGAAGTGAGTGAAAGTTTGTCTTGAGTCATTAAATATTATTCTTAAAAAAAACAATTGTATAACTATGGCGTATATATATATATATATATATATATATATATATATATATATATATATATATATATATATATATATATATATATATATATATATATATACATATATATATATATATATATATATATATATATATATATATATATATATATATATATATATATATATATATATATATATATATATATATATATATATATATATATATATAGTTAGTTAATTAAGTTACACAAAGCCACAGCCTTGTTAAACTCATCATCAGATGAGCATATGCATGTATACCTAACTTGTATGTCGGCCACTTTCATGTAGCATTTACGGTAAATGATGAGCTGTAATAACTACGATGACTTAAAACTGTCTAGTAGTTGTTTAAATTTATCAACCGATGTTGAAGAAAAAAACTAGGTAAAATATATATATATATATATATATATATATATATATATATATATACATATACATATATATACATATATATATATATATATATATATATATATATATATATATATATATATATATATATATATATATATATATATATATATATATATATATATATATTAGGCCTTTTTAGGAGACGAGTGTGGTCGCACACATTATAGATTTTTTTGACAACATGGCTGCAGTTTTTTGTATATATTGATAATTCAATTTAATTTAAAAGCGTTTCAATTAATAGTTTAAAGCTTATAATTTTTCATATATCTCCACATTGATTTAGTGCTTGGATTGATTGCCATGTCAATGTAGCAACTGTAATTTTTTAAAAATGTTTTGTAGACATTAGAAAATATCAAAGTTTCAAATTTTTAAAGTAATTATGCTTGGATTAAATTGGATGAAAAAAAACTTTGAAACTTTAACTTTTTTTAAATTTTTTGTAGTGAAACACTTTTAAATTAAAAAAAACATAATAATTTTATGCTTTTGTTTATTTTTTATTCATTCATTCGTTAAGGTTTTTATTTTTTTAGTTTAGTTTTGTATTTTTTTTTTAGTTTTTATTTCTCTTTCCAGTTTATAGTTAGTTTATTTTTAATTTTAGTCTAAGTTCACATTTGTATATTGAATGGATTTTTTAAATTTGCTAACTTAAAACATACATGGAGCCCTGGCCAACTTGTCAAAACAATATATTATGTGTGTGATCATATAAGGCATGCAACCAACCGCATGCGTCTTCTGAGAAGGCTTGATATATATATATATATATATATATATATATATATATATATATATATATATATATATATATATATATATATATATATATATATAAAGTTTTAATAATAAACTTAATGTTGCTACTGCTGCCATTACTCATTCGTGGGTGTTTGATATGAAACTCATTTATTCAGTTTTTTTTTTTTAAATTTTCCAATTTTTTAAAATACAAATTAAATTATTTTAAAAGTTCTATAGATATTATATATATAACATATAAAGGTATTATATACTAAACAAATGAAAAGGAAGGAATTTTTAAAAAAACTTCAAATTTCTAAAAACATTAATACATTGGGGGAAATTTATTGCACACGTGTAACAAATTTCCCCCAATATGATAAAGATTCCCATGATAAAAATATTTATGTTATTAATGTGTTTAGGCAATTAGTTAAGTCTGCACATTTAATGCACATGAAAGCAACAACTTTCTTTTTTTATAAGAAAAAATTTTAAATTCAAACATTAGTTATTTTCAAAATTATTCAACCGAACGAGGGTCCTAATAAACTACAGATAGTCGGAAAAAAAATTAAAACTTATTAGAAAGTTAAGTTTCTTAAGAATTAAGAAATTGCCTAAAAATAAAGAAAACTCTTAAGAATCAGGAAATTAAAAAAATTACCTTAAAAAAATTCAACTTAAATTAAGTCTCAATAAAGAAAAACATTATTAAGCCTGCCCCTAATTTTTAATAGAAGTTAACAATTTTACAATAAGAAGTTAATGAACAATAATCATTTTGTAGAAAAAAAAAAAGATTTTAAAATTTTTTAATTTTCTACCACTTACTAGAAATTATTGAAATAAAACGACTGTATATAGATTAAGTATAGAAACAGTAGATGTGGAATAGACTTACCATGACTTATATAAGTCATGGTAAAACCATCATTCCACATATTATTAAGTTTATTTCCACATGTTTTTTTAAACTTTTTATACTAACTGTAAATAATCAATGCATTTCAAGCAGGTATTCAAAATATTATTTAGACTGATACTAATATCTAAAACACAAATAAAAAGGGGCTACCACAACGGCTACCAATATTTAATACTTTTAAAAGTTAATTTTATGATAAAATTTTTTTCTCATAACTTTAAAAGGTAGACAATATGTATAGTTTTTCTAAATATATATATATATATAAAATTATTTTTCTACCATTTTCTGAAAAATTTTGAAATAAAGAATAAGGATAGAATTCATCATGTGGAATAGACCAAGACCTGTATTTTACTAGTTTGGGAAGTTAATATATGTAAATATCAAATATTAAAAGCAATTAAATGAACATAATTAAAAATAATAAATATAAACAATCAATATTTACTGTGTCATATAAACATACCTAAATATACATATATAAATATACATGTATATATATATATATATATATATTATATATATATATATATATATATATATATATATATATATATATATATATATATATATATATATATATATATATGTATATATATATATATATATATATATATATATATATACATATATATATATATATATATATATATATATATATATATATATATATATATATATATATATATATATATATATATATATATATATATATATATATATGTATATATACATTTATATATGTGTGTATATATATATATAAATATGTGTATATATATATGTGTGTATATATATAATATGTATATATATATATATATGTATATTTATATATATTTGTGAATATATATATTAGGGATGTACCGAAGCATTGGTTTTGGCAAGTTTTATTTAGGTAATTAAAGGAAATAAGCTACTGTTATATTTAACATTAAAAATTATTATTGTTTACAATAAAATTACTTTACTTAACAATTCTATTACTTGTAATTTGCTCCTTTACTTTGATTCCTTGACGTATGCCGCAGCATACATAGTATAAATTTGGACGTGCCGCAAACTAAATTGTTAATTTTTTTGGTTTACCTGGTTATCAAAATTAATGAATATTTTTTATATTTTATTTAAGTTCTCTGTATAATTTTATTCCGTTGTTGTATTTACTGAAAGCTATTTTCACAATAATTTGTATTTAGTTTTTTTGGGCTTGAAACGTACGCTAGAAAAATTATTTCTTATCACCACTCAAAAACATGGATAATTTATGGTTTTATAATTACAGAAGCAAAAACCTACAGAAAATCAATGGCAGCATGCTGAAATATTTGTGTGCATACTAAAACACTTTAAAAGTGCTACGAAAGGTAAGAGTGCAAACACATCAGAGATCATACTGTTTCTTGACTATGCTTGGGACAAATCAATTGTAATCAAAACTGTTGATAAACTTAAAAGATTTTAAAAGTCATTTTCATTAATACAAAGATAATGTTTGTCTGAAAAAATCAATGGTGCTCAAACCCTGTTTCAAAAGAAATTTTTTAAAGAAACATAGTATGCTTGAAAAATTTTTATATCAAGGGTACTACCGCTTTTATCTAGAGAATCGATACTCTAAATGAAAGCTGTAGTACCCTTATATATAATTTAAAATACAAAATTTGTAGTACCTTTATATATAATTTAAAATACAAATTTTTACAAATAAAGGATCATTTACAACAAGTAAAAGAAGTTGATTTTGTTAAAGACTCTGATAGTGATAGTCAAATATATATATATATATATATATATATATATATATATATATATATATATATATATATATATATATATATATATATATATATATATATATATATATATATATATATATATATATATATATATATATATATATATATATATGTATATATATACATGAGCATATACAGGTTTTTTAGACCAAATGTGTATAAATGAGAATGCTTCACAGAAATGTGAAAACACTGATAGAGAGGGAGAAAAAAGTATAATAGTAAAAATCCTAGAGGAAAAACTCAAAATTTAAAAGGAAAATGGTACGAATAAAAAATATCTAAATAAAATTGTTACTTTTTTAATTTATTATAAATTTAATTAAAAATTGATGTTAACTTTCAAATTAATTATTTTATTGCATTCAGGCCTGTTACTAGAAATTTATTTACAAGTTTATTTGCACAGCAGAATTGCTTGTAGACAAAACTATATTATATTTATATTATAGAAAGATTGCTGCAAGTGGGCACAAACTATATACAGGCCGTGTCTTCCTGTAGATAAGGGTCTGGTTCCATTTAATATTTTTAATTTTCCATGCACAACTTAATTATTTATCAACTATAAATGTTTATTCTTTATTATTTATAAGTTGAATAAGAGTATTCTTTTTTCCTTACTTGATTAAAAATTTAAAATGTAAGTTTAAATTTTATATTGATTTATAGTTTTGATTTAACATGGAGGAAATCAACTTCTACTTTAGCCTATCAACATTACGAAAAAAATAAATGTCCGGATGAATAACGAATTAGTGGTGGAGTGTTTACAATTACACCAGCTACAATAAAGACACTAATAAATGGGATTTTGTAAGGTTCTCAATGAAAATATTGTGCGCACTTCCGTTAAGAGTGAACCTCTGTTCAGCACAACGTGAAACATATTTTAACCCAAAAGAAACAGGCTGTTGCCTGTGCATGGAGAACAGATTACGTTTTTAAATTATAATTTGCCTGATTTCTAACAAAAGATAATTAATTTAAAAGCAATATACTAATAAGTATGATAAAAATAACTTTCCTCATTTGTAATTAGTAATTTTATAAATAGTAATTTTATCATACTCCTAAGTACAAACAAAATGTAAACTAAAACATTGTTTATAATATAATTTTAAAGTTTAGACTTGATTAAGTTGACAAGAAGTCAAATTAGTTTTATAATTGACACCCTACCTCAACTACTAATTAGTAATTACTGGGGTAGTAAAAATAAATCTAAACTCAACTGTCTCCTTAAACAACAGAATCATGCAGCACGCATTATTCATTTTCAAAATCGCTTCACAAATGCTAAACCTCTTCTAAAAAGCATGCGGGCACTTGATATTTATGAACTAAATATTTTCAAAATACACAATTTATGTTTCACCATCAGTCAAAAAAAATGCTGAAGGTTTTCAAAAATATTTTCCATGAAATGCTATGGATGCTATGGAACCATTTTACAAGCCTGAGTGGTAAACTTAAAGAAGCCAATACCACTCAAAAATTTAAAAAGAACATAATCGAACTAATGCCAATCAAGATTCTTTACATGATTTTTTGTAACAATACATTTTTATTTCCAATTCTTATTATCAAAGATTACTGATGATAAGATTTTATCTTCTTCAGGTTCTCGGATCTGGTAACTATTATAAATAATGAAATGTACTTGTATTTAATATTTTTTAATACTTTATCGGAAATTACCTTTAATTGTAAATGGTGGCTTGACAAAAAAAAAAAATTAAAACAAATATAAAATTACTAATTAGCTAGTAATTATTTTTCTTATAACATTAAACTTGTTCAAACAAGGCATAGCTACATTCTAAAATCCTATAACATTGTGTAGTTAAAAAAAAACCTTTACGATTTGTTATAGTAAAATACCTTGAGCGCTAAAATACATATAATTGCAGTACATATATTTTGCAATATGCAGTACATAAAATAAATAAAATACTTGGAGTAGAATGTTGAAATTTTTTTAAAGCAGTTAATATTATCCCTAGATAGCTAGATCTACAAAAGAGCAAATTTAACCTATGTAAGTGCAAAAGCTTCGGCTCCGGCCGAAGCTTTGGTTTCGGCAGAGCGACTTCAGCCAAAGCTTCGGCTTCGGTAAAATCTTAGCTTTGGTACATCCCTAATATATATATTTATATATATGTGTATGTGTATATATATATATATATATATATATATATATATATATTTATATATATATATATATATATATATATATATATATATAATATATATATATATATATATATATATATATATATATATATATATATATATATATATATATATATATATATATATATATATATATATATATATATATATATATATATATATATATATATATATATAAAGTAGTAGAAAATTACTTAGCAAAATTTTTTTTTCATTTAACACTGTGTTTCATCAATAAATCATCAGAAGTGTAAAAAGATTAGGATTTAACAAATTTTTTTAACAAAAAATGATTTTATTGAAGATTAATAAAAAATATTTAATTAGAATTTCCACGTAAATCTGAACTGTACCTTAGGAATAATCTGATGGATGTAAATATTTCAACAAAATTAACCAAAGTAATGTAATATAAAATGTAAACATATATTTAAAAACATTGTAATTTACCTCTATGGATATTTCGACGAACTTTATTCTTTTTATCTAAAATTAATACCAAAATCAAAATCGTACAAAGAACTGAAGAGCAAGAACAAATTATGGGTCAGTAAACACTCAAGTACAAAACAGTAAAGCACTCCATGTGTTTTTATTTTTAAGATGCTATTAATCATTTATATTGAAAGTGCAACAATATTTAATTACCCTCAAAAAAGTAACTATCTGTTGTCAATAACACTCTGAAGTCAATAACACTCTGCTGTCAAGAGCAGATATTTCTCTAAAATATTTCTTAAGAAACCACTCTAATAATCAGGTATTTAAAACTTATAAAATACTTTAGTCATGATATTAACAACCTTTTTTAAGTTCTCAAATGCAACTATGGATTACCTCAATCAACTTACTCACCTACAGTTGATTAAGGAATTCCATAGTTCTTGTCTTAACAAAACTAGTGTCAGTATTTCACCATGGTTCAAAAACCAACAAAATTTTTATAATTTAATCAAATAAAAACTGAATGCATTCATTATGTCATCATAAAATTTTGTTTCATTGAAAATCCTTTTCTGATAGATTTTTAAATCATTTGGTAATATAATATAAACTTGAATGAGCAGAATGTAAATCCTAGAAACTGAACAAATGACCAAACACTACAAAATGGATAAAAACTTGTGTACTTACAATCATTTTCAATCAAATGAAAGTTTAATTTTTTAAGTTTTAAAAAATGCATAAAAACTATTGTTTTTAAGCTGAAAATAAAAAAAGTCTATATTTTTAGGTTTTTTGAGAATAATTTTTTTTAGGCATGTTTTTTATGTAAAATGATTATTATTTTTGAAGTTTTTATATAATATCGCTTCTTTTGAGTACCAGGTTGACATACTTTAGAAAAAGTTTTTTTTTCAAAATATTAGGGACCCGTCAAATTTTTGAGGGCCTTGAGCTACCCCTAAAAATAATTTTTGTTCAAAAAAATTTTAAACCTAGTGTTTTTGTATTAGATAAAACACATTTAGGAGGTACCAGCAGGTTTTTCTCAAAAAAGTTGTTTTAAGCACCACCCTAACCTATATACTTGGGGCTAAAAAAAAACTTTTAAAACAAACTAGCTTATGATTGGTGTTTATCAATTCTTAAATTTTTTGTTAAAATATCTTTTAAAATAAATTAATAACTTTTTTCAGAGGTTATTTGCTCTATCGCAAGTTAACACCTGTGAAATTTTCTGTTTAATCCAACTATAAGAGAAAAAATTATAAAATAAAAAAAAACTAAACCAATAAAAAAATGTGCAATGGGTTATCTTTTTTTAACAACAGTTATATTTAGCATGGATTAAGTACCTGAATACTTGTTCAAAACATCTTGAGAGTTACTTGAAGTTAGGAGAGCTTCAGAGTTTTCATTATTTAAAACATCTTTCTTTTCATTGGTCAAATGCAGCTGCATTTTAGTAAAAAACATTCACATTACTTTTTTTTTTTACATATATCATAACATAACATATATATGTGTTTATATATATATATATATATATATATATATATATATATATATATATATATATATATATATATATATATATATATATATATATATATATATATATATATATATATATATATATATATATATATATATATATATATATATATATATATATATATATATGTAATTATTATAAAAATTGTTAGACAAATATAAATTAAAAAAGTAATTGAGTTGAAAAAAAATTTCAATAAAAGTACCACTTGAGTGTAACTATTTGATGGGGCTGCCATCTTATTATTTTCAATGCTATTATTAATATGGTGTAGTGTCTTCTTCTGTGGAATCAAATTTTGAACTGCTTTAAAGTCTGGTAATATATTTAACAAAAGTGTTGTGACAGATATATTGTGAGGTTTTTTTAAAAATATATCTAAACATAAGTAACATAATGAAAACATTAAAAACAATAAAAACAAACTACATATATAAACTACAGGAAAAAAAAGGGGTGTTCTACTTCCCTTTCTAACCATTTAAGGAAAGTAGTTTCCTCTGATTTGGAAAGTGTTCGTAAATTAAATGTATTTATATTGAAAAATGTTTAATTAACTATACTTTATTGTTTAAAGGCAAAAAAAAAAAAAAGAAATTTTTTAACTTACGAGAAATGGAAATGGATTGAATTTAATCTATTTCCAATTTATGGAAAGTATTTAAAAATTAATCATTTTCTTTAAATTTTTACATGACATTGAATTTAAAGTCAATATCATCTTTAAATTACTATTAATTAAATTTGACCTTACTTCTCTTCATTTTCCAATCACTTCCCATTGAAAAGTCAAAAAAAAATTTTAAAAATCTTCTTTTTTAATTTTCTTTATTTAATAAGGTTTCTTTTTTACAAATAGTTGATCAATGTCAATAGAACTTATCCCTGGTAGGGAAATAAAATACTTTGACAAAATGGTCTTATTATTTAAAAATAAATAAATTGTAAACACGTGATCAAAGTAAGTGCAAAAAATATTTTCAGATTGAAGTATAATCAATAGAAGTTATCTCTTAGTTAATAGAAGTTATCCTTTGAAAGTTCCCGTCAATAGAAGTTATCTCGAAGTTATCTCGAGAAGGTTTCACTATTTTATTCAATTATTCTGATAAATTATAGAAAGTTAGATTGCAGTTCGTTTGGCGTCTGAAGTATATCTATTTTGAATTCGATTTGAAAAGAGAAAATGGTTAAAAAAAAATGCTTGTATTTTCAAAAAGCCAGCCTTTGTTTAGCTTATAATTTTTAGCGTTAAAATAAGAACTCTTTAAAATTAAATAAATGATTAAATTCTATTTAATTATATAATTAAAATTTTATTTTTAATTCATCAAAAGTGATATACTTAATTTTTTTAAAAATTAACAATAAACTATTTTTAGCTTTGTGCACAAATACTTCAGTTATAAGTATAATAAGCCAACTTATCTTTTGCATAACGACTTTGAGTAATCAAGCTAGCTTATCTTTGCATAACAATTTTGAGTAATCAAGCCAACTTATCTTTGTGTAGCGACTTTGCGTAATCAAGCTAACTTATTTAACAAACAGTAGTTCTTAATTTTACATTAAAACTTTTTTTTTCTTTGAAAACTAATAAACTGGGACAGGTCTTAACAAGCTCCGGGTGATAAAATTGATAAAATAGATAAAGGCAATATTTGGATATTGTATTGATTGTGTCCTCTTCTTTGCGATGCCATGATCTATGGAGGGTAACATGCAAAAGTAACAGATGGTAACATGCAAAAGTAACAGATGGTAATATGATCAGTTGGTTCTCTCCAAATCATGGGTACCACAAATGGAATGGTTTGTCTTTTGTCATGTAACCAGTTAGAAAGCCCTGTACTAAAAAAAGTACATGAAATGTGAGGAATCCAGGGTTGTTCTTGATTTCCTAACTAACAGCCAAAGTATAATTGGTAAGCTTTTTTGATTACTGGTATGATAAAACATTTCTGTAAAACCAATGTCACTTTGCATCAGATATAAAAGAATGAATCCGGATTATCCGGACATTTTCTTACACATTTGATTAAAATTCATGATAATATCAATATATTTTATAGTAAAATCTGTAACAAACACATAAAACAGTTAAATTGCATGAAAAATATATGAAACAAAGAACACAATTAAAGAAGTCAACACATTCAATAAAAAACCATGAAATCAATCGACAAGACCTCTGTCAATAACTTAAAAACTAAACAAAAAATTTCAATAGATTTGTGTTCAGCACCTTTGAATTAGTATATTATTTTTGTTTCCATTACAATTTATCTTTTGACCAGTTTAATTTGCTCTTAGACAAGATATTGTTATAAAAACTACATCACTGCTTTATTAGGGAACCTTAAATTTGGAAGACTGGATCCAATCCAATCCAGGTTTAAAAAAAAACAGTCATACAGCTATTACAACATGTATGTGAAAAATACCTTCTCTCATAAATTCTCTTTGCCGAATTTTTTTAATTTTCCCTAACAATATGCGTAAAGCTGTTGAAATTGAGTTTTTAGAAATCCCTAGGTGCTTGCGAAGATGTTTTTCTATCAGCTCATCTGCAAACTTTTTTCCCATCAATATTTGTGAAAGTTGAAGCAAGTTTGTCACAAGCTCTGAATTTGTGTTCATGGAGATTTTTTCATTATTAAATTGGGCCTTCATAAAATCATGAAGTTCATGTTGATCTGTTGCATCTTTATATCCATCAACTACATCGTACTGTTTTCTATCTAAAAAATCACTTTCAATATGAGCTGTTAGTAAATTTTTCCTACGCTATACATAATGAATCACTTGAAAAAATTCTAATCAACGACAAACTGATTTACTAATATATGAAAATATTGCTTTGGAGATCAAAAATTATCATTTCAAGCTATATAAAATAAAAAAAAAATTAACTTAATAAACCATTACTTTTCACCTTGTTTTCTAACTGATCAAGTAACTTACTATCATGGTTGATGTCTCCCAAATCAGATGGTTCATTTGTATCAGTAAAGTTTAACCCAGTTCCTACTAAATTATAAAAAAGAAAAAAGATAACAATTACATAGATGCAATTTCAATATTGTAAAACAATATGCTCTCCACTTTTGAGGGAACCCTACAACCATCATATGTTTAAAATTAAATGTTAATATTGGTCTTGTTGTTAGTGAGAGCAAATATAAGATTTTTACCAAACCTAGAAGTGAATATAACAACTTACTAAATTGAGCTCTTGATAAAAATTCTTTATTTATGGGTCGAGACATTTTACCATTAGGAAGTTGCATACCAACACTGCAACCACTATTTCCGGTCAACTGGGCACACACTGCTTGAATATAGTATGCTTTTCCGCTGCTTAACCGTATTAAAGGTGAAGTCTGTTCTTCTGGGTATCTGTAATTTTATTTACATTTAACTAAACTATTTTTTCTAAATTTAAGTAAAAAATAATAATTTATAAAACCTACTTATCCCATTGGTTATTCTTTGAAAATTTTCTTTGAGAAATGATCTTTCTGATGTGGTCTTTACTGTCGTCAGGACTCATGTAAACATCACACTCATCATCACAGGAACTATAATTTTTTATAGCAAAAGAAGAAAAAGTAATTTATCAAAAACTCTAATGAAATTACAATAAAAAATATATATAAAAAAGTTTTTAAAAAAAACATTTGGACTGAAAAGTAAAAAATAAACTATTTTACAGGACCCAAGGAAAACAAAATGTTGAGCGCCAATAGAAACAAGTTGTAATTAATTGCTTAACATTTTCAGTCATTGACTTACCAAAGGACTTTGTGTACGTATACTTGGGTCCCGTGAAATAGTTTATTTTTTAGTTTTTAGTCCATTTTTAAAATGTTGTTTTTAAAAAGTTTTTTTTATATATTCTTTTTATAATTCAACAGCGATTCTATTTATTTTTGCTAAACTAAAACGCTATAGGTTTGTTCATTATTATTTGTTTTAACAACGATTTTCTTAACAATTTCTTTTATTTACGCATGTTTTGCATTGTTTGTTTTAACTACTTTTTTTAACGATTTCTTTTATTATTATGCTGACCCCATGTTTGTTTTGCACAGACACCAAAAAAATAAAAAATAAAAAATAAACAAACCAACAAGAAAGCAAGTAAATAAAGTTTTCTAAAAAAAACTCACATGGTTTTCTCAAAAACTGAAAAACTGTTCTTTTAAATGCTTTGTATATTTAGCAGACATTTTTATCTAATAGCTGCTTCTACAAAATAGTGAGGCAAATAAATGAGAAAAGAAGCTTATTAAGTTTCCAATGGATTTCTTTAATTAACTTGAATTGAACGATTTCCTTTTAAAATACTTTAAGTAAAGTATCATATTAAAGAAGTGAAGTAGAAGAAGATTGGCAGGTAACGCTCATATAGAAGATTAGCAGGTGTTATCACAATTATAATTTATAAAGATAAAAAAAAATCTTTTTTGAGAAAAAGAAAATTTGAACTATACTGAGATCATTAAAAATTACTGACAGCAAATAAAAATTGAAAATAACTATGAAAATATTTCTTTATGAATTACACTACAGAAAAACAAAATGACATAATAGCAAAATTAAAATGATTTTAACTATGAATTAATAGGTGATTTTTATGATTATTTATGTAACTTTTTATCTATGTATTAATAGGTACTGGATTTTTTTTCAGAAGATTCTATCTTTTTTTTTGTTATATACCTCTCCAAGGCTGAGAGAGCCACTACAGTTGAGGAGGCTATTTTATTATGGTTACAACCCTTTCTTAACTCTTTAACTAAAAAACATCAACCGTAAACAAGGTTGCTGCATGAAGAAACAACTTGAGGGCGTTAATACCAGGGATGTGGGATTGAAATATGAGCATATAATTTATTTGTTCAAGTTTAAAACATCTAGTATTAATGTATGTACCATTACAGTAAACACAAATGTTGCATCTGATAAAAATCAATACTCTGAGTTGCATTAACTTGATAAAAATTATCTATTTAATTTTAAAACTAATTTTAAGATTTTTATTTTTTTTTGAATTTTTTTAAAATGTTAATAATTGTTTTACATGTGCGTGTATGTATAGGGGAAAGGCGCCTATAATGGCATACTTAACTTTGAAGCTTCATTATTCAGTATCCTGAAGACCAAGAACAAAAGTTTTGATATGGATGCATTTTTTGTTACAAGTAGAACAATAATAACCTTAAATGTTTTCATCAGTTTTATTTTTTTATTAGTTATTTTTATTTAAAAAAAAAGCACAAGTATGCAATCATAGGCAACTACTGCTCCTATGATGGCATAGGGAGGGATGGGGCTGGTTAGCATCAAAGGTAATTTGAAAATTTTATTTGACCTTAAAGTCTTCCCTCATAAATGCCTGAAATTACGCGTAATCATCCTAATTAACCCTTTCGTGCTACAGACCAGCAGTGTAGAATTTCACGCATGTGCATAGGAGATATTGCATTTTATGTGTTTTTTGAACCAAAAATGTTTTAGTGAAGTAAAAATTTATTTTTACTTCACTAACAAATATATTGTTTTTATGAAAAAAAAGGTTTTTATCAACTCAATATTGCAATACACAACTTGTCAATATTGCAATATCAACTCGTCAATATTGCAATTATCAACATACAATATTGCAGTATGCCATCATCAAAAGAAGTCATCATTTTTATTTAAACAAGCTGTCTCCCTTGTTCAAAAGATAAAATTAAAATAAGTATTCCACTAAATGCACAAAACATGGAAATAAAATGCATGAAAATTTCATTTTGGCAAAGTTAAAAATAAAATCACAATCTTAAATATTTTAAGGGATTAAAAATACAACAGCACATCCCAAAATCGATTTTTGTTGATTATAAAAGCATTACTTGTCATAAGGGATGTATTTTTGCTAAAACTAATGTAAAGTCAGTATAGACATGTTTGTTTAATCACTTTTTTGCCATAACCAATATTTATGAAAATATTGGTTATGTCAAATATGCCTTAAAATAAATATGCCTTAGCCCTATATATATATATATATACATATATATATATATATATATATACATATATATATATATATATATATATATATATATATATATATATATATATATATATATATATATATATATATATATATATATATATATAGGGCTAAGGCACCTATGATGGCATACCGGTCATACTTTCATATATTTATATATATATATATATATATATATATATATATATATATATATATATATATATATATATATATATATATATATATATATATATATATATATATATATATATATATATATAAAGTTAGCAACAAAAACACTTTTATGTTAAGAGAAGAGAAGTTTGGTTATTAAAAAAAACTTTATAAAAAATATTTAAATAAAAAATTCACAATCATAATTCACAATTCATTAAATTGTATGAAATTATTAAACTAACCTAAAGAAGGTGTATTCACCATCTATTGGGACTTTAAGCCAGCCCCAAATCATTTGTCCAACATTGTTGCCTGTTTTTTTTCCAGTATCCATTAGTGGCAAACTGAATACTTTATCAGGCTGATCAGGATATTGATCAGAGTTGTATAAAGCATCAATAGATGTACCTTTGAACAGTTTATCACGATAAACCTTTTCAAAAATCCACAAGTTAATACCTGGATAAGCTGAAGTTAAAAAATCTTGTTAAATGACAATTTTAATAGAGTTGATAATAGTTTAAAGTTAATAGAAACACTGAACACTCATCTAACAATACTATTAATAATAGAACATAGTTTAAAGTTAATAGAAAAACTTAACGCACTTATCTTGCACTAATAATACTGCAACACTTAAAAACACAATTTTGTAACAGACACTGATTTATTTATGCAAAAATATTCAAAAAAAAAAAAAAAATCAACATTTCTTAAATAATAATCAATGAAATACTCATGTAACAATTTTAATAATCAGAGCACAAAAATTAAACATGCAAACATATGCTACAACTGTACTCTCTGTACAACGTATGCTACAACTGTACTCTCTGGTTATTTTTGTAGTAGGCATATGATACTGTACTTTCTAAATCAAATAAAAAATTGTTTTGTGTAACTGTATTGAAAAACATGTTTTAATTTTAGTTTAGTGCAAAGAAACGTTTAACAATTTGTTACTAATTTACAAAAAGGAGTGCACATAAGAACTTTAGTTTCATTTTCAGTGTCTATTTGCATTGTTAGTTAGACATGCATGCTATTTAGAGCAGATCAATCTTAGCATTATATCATTCATTGAGCATTAAATTTCAAAATAAAAAATTAAAACAAATTAAACAATAAACACAAAAAAAGAAAACAAGTTAAACAATAAACACAATTTATAAGGAAATAAATTAAACAATAAGCACAATTTATTGTTTATTTTGTTTTTTCTATGATTTAAATTAAAAACAATATTTTTTGTCAGAATAATCATAAAATAGATAGTAAAGACTGTATTATACAAACAATAACAAACTGACTCAGTTGAAGAAAATAAAAGTAATGAGAAATACAAATAAGTAATGAGAAATGAAATTTAATTGAAGACTAATTTTTTTTTAATTATTGCTTACTATTAAATCACTTTTCATGTGTTTTTTTTATTTTGTTTTTTAAAGACATTCAGAACTAAATTTTATTTTTAAAATTAAATTAATAATTTACAAAATGCCTGTGAATTTTTATAAAATATTTCAAGCTAACTGAAAACCAATGACAAATGCAGTAGTAATGTAATGCAATTGTAATGTATGTCATGTGAATTTTTATAAAATATTTCAAGCTAACTGAAAACCAATGACAAATGCAGTAGTGATGCAATTCTATTTATACACAGTAGACAGCAATAGCAAATTAAGTTTTTTTTTTAAAGGACAATATTAAACTAAGAGGAGAGTGGGGCACCGTAACGCACTTTTGGTTTTTGCTTCGTAACAATTTTTTAAATATTTTTTTTTAGACAATTGGTTTAATTTGTAGAATAAATTTACAAATATAATAGGTTAAACTTGTGAGACTATTTAAAGTAAAATTAGAAATTTGTTTCAAGGTACCTGACCCATAGGGTACCTTGATACACACTATGAGCATCATTAAAAAAGTAAATAAAAAAATATGAAACAGAGAAAAAGCAGATTTTTAATTGAAAGATAAATTAATAATTATAACCCAAATAATGCATCCAGCAATTCAAATGACATTTCAGAAGATCTTAATGATGTCAAACGATATAATTTTTTTTTTCAAAATATAACTCTAATAGTAACTGTTTCATCATATGAAAGTGGTTGTCACAACCTCTTAAGATGTTTTCACAATTACAATGTTTCATGGTGCGCCGTAAATCATAGTGCCTCACTCTCCTCTATATTTTATCTGTTCTTGATAGCACAAAGTTCGATAATTACTTGAAAGTAATGCAAGAAATAATAAATTGTTTTTTTCATGTACTGCAACCCCTCCAAAATACTTAAAAAAAAAGATACCTAAAAAATAAAACCCTAGAAGATATAATTAGAAATGTGAAGTTTTGACAACTTTGGTACTACTAATTCACTGTGTCTTTGACCTGTGGTATTCACTTGCAAAGAAGCATCATTTTAGTTATCATAACACAATCTGGACCACAGCAAACATTCCTTCAACATCTCCAAAATACAATTCCTACAATTCCATTATGTAACTAATAAGTTACATAATGCAGCAGTGCCTCATTAAAGCAATGAACATTAGTTGCTGAACTGGTGTAAACAGCTGTGGTTTAACACATTTAAATCAAAAATGCTCTAAGACTTTACTAGTTCTTAAACTTTATTTTTAAAATCCTAATTTTTTTAATGACAAAACTCATAATTTTTTAAATCTAAAAAATTTTTTAATAACACCCTGACCAACTTTCAACACCTTCTTTATGAAAATTCCAATGTTGTCTGAAAAACATCAAAAGAAAATTGGATGTCAAAATCTTGAATTTGCACATTGCACTTTTATATTGCCCATGAACTCGTACATAAATTTTTAATCATTTTTTGAGCCTAATTTTTCTATAATACAACTCATGCAACACTCTAAACACTCAAGAAAGTCTTGTAACTTATTATAGTAATTATAATAATATTATTGTAATTATAATAACTTTCATTTATGTAGCTGTCACAACATGACTAATGAATCACTAATTTTAGGCAACATTTAGAATATAAACTATACAACCATCACAACACATCATTCATCATTAAAAACCTTTTGCAATCTTCTAATGTGTGCCACAAAATATAATTAACAATATTAATATTATTACAATTTACAATATTAACACGATAAATAATTTTTTTCACCTCTTTGAGATCTCCTTACACCTTCCATAGCTTGAGTACTAGATTCAAATCTATTTTGACCATGATTTTCAAAGTAATTTCTATTCATGATATTCTTTTCATGGTGTTGTTGTTGATTAGAAAAATCACTTTCTTTGGTTTTTGATTGCAAATCTTTTTTCTGCAAACTTTTTTTTCCTCCTAAATTTTTACTCTTTTTAAAAACGTCTATTTTTGTATGCCTTTTAGAATTAGAATTTTTGGAAGCAGGGTAATGGACAAGACTTTTTCTTTCTACAGGTTTTTTACGCAAATCATAAATAATAATTTTTGCATACTCATTGCCTTTAGAAAAGTCTAAGACAACTTTGCCTCGATTACTGTACTTGTTTTTCATTTCAATTGCTTGGTTATCATTTATGACTAAACTACTATCTTGACCACTGTAGAAAGCAATCCCATTATTTTTCCCTGGAACCAAGTTTTCAATATGATTTGGGTTTTGCACTTGGGATTCCTCATCAATATTGATAATTCCAACATGGTGGTCTGTATCATCATATTGAAATGAGTCTTCATAATTGGGGTTGCCACCATAAATTTCTTTTATCTTCTTAAAATCAGCATTTCCAGGTGCAAAAAACAAATCGTCAGATAAATTTTTTGGTTGATCAACTTTAGATTGCTGGGATTCTGGAGATTTTGGAACAGGAATAAATTCAGGTTTATCATCAACAGCAGCTATATTAACAATCTTATTTTTTTTATCAGAGTTTATAAAATCATTTGCATCGTTGTTGATATTTATAGGATTTAAATCTTTCAAGATTTTATTTTCTTCTATTATTTTGCTTCTGCTCTCCTTGCTTTCTAAAAACAATTTTATTTTTTAATTTGGTAAGTATATATATATTATATACTATATATTATATACTATACAAAACTATGTGCACATAAAAACAAAAATAAAACAGTTTTGAAGCCAGAAAAAAAAAAGTGAAAGAGTAAAAAAAGAACCGTTGTTAAAATGAATATAGTTTTCACGCAAAGAATGAATTTCACTGTTTTGATCATGCCTAAATTCATTTGAAACACTCCTTGGAATTTGCACTCGGGTATTTGGATTGACCATTTCAAGAGGGATTAGATTTTCTAAAACGCCTAAAAAGACACAAGTATAAGAATAATTAACAAAAAATATTTCAAAAAAAAAATTTATTTTATAAATATAAAAAAAACATATTTTTTTAAAGTATTAAAAGCCATACCATTTAATGTACTTTGATAAAATTTATTCTTTGGGACAATATAAGTTTTATCTCGTTTGGCTAAAGAAAAAGTATTTTCATCAATATTAAAGAGGTATGGAGTTGACTAAAAAAAGCTCAAAGAAAGTTTAAATAATAAATCACATAAAACAAAGTTTGAATAAATCATATAAAACAAAGTTCAAATAAACCACATAAAACAAAGTTTTAACCGACTCAGACTTACTTTGAAAACATTTTTTAACATGTTTTAAAATCCAAATATTTATACATCAACCAAAAATGGAGAAAGAATTACATAAAGACTATATGCAAAGTTACAAAGTTTCAATCAATATAAATCCTAAAATGGCAGGACATTCAAACAATTTGCTACTTATAAAAGTGTGTTTAATAATAAAACTATTTTTGATCTATAAAGATTTTATTCCTTGCTATTTTTTAAAAGCTTTAAAAAACATTTGAGGTAATTCAAGAGTTGAATTAAGCAATCGTGCAAATTAAGCAATAAATGCAAAATCCGGAAAAATATCTGGTCTTCAAAATTTTAGTTAATACAAAACCATGTAATTTGTTTTTTAAGCGGTGAAACAGCTTAAACTTGTGAGGGAAAAAGTTATAAAAAATATAACAATAAAATTACAACTACAAAAGTAATAACACTCTAGTAACTAACTGCATTATAAAAGTAATAACACTATAATAGTGTTATTACATTTATAACACACTTGTAACTTTTATAATTTGTTCTTTGTTCAAACAACATCAGTAATCCCAAATTTTATTTGAAGTAAAAAAACATCTACCAAAATAGAGTAGATATTCAAATAATATTTAAAACTTATTAAGGAATTTAAAAAACATTAGTTTCACCCGAGAAAAATACAAAAGAAAAAAACTTTTACACCGCACTACTGATTATCATAGCAGATAACTCAAATGAGAAATAAAATCTGTTTCTGAAAAAACTGGAGGGTACACCACTAACACCGCTAACAAATTAAATTGTATATACTTGAATTCTATTTTGTATACATTTCATTTAATATTTTGGCTAATTTTGTAAGTAAAAAAAAAAAAAGATACAAATGTTGAAGCTCATAAGGGCTCAAGCATGATTTTTTTGTAGAATTTTTGAATTTTTTAAAAAAATTTTTAAACTTATGAGATGGCTCACCATGATGGCTCACCATGATGGCTCACCATGATGGCTCACCATGATGGCTCACCATGATGGCTCACCATGATGGCTCACCATGATGGCTCACCATGATGGCTCACAATGATGGCTCACCATGATGGCTCACCATGATGGCTCACCATGATGGCTCACCATGATGGCTCACCATGATGGTTCACCATGATGGCTCACCACAAGATCTGCTCTTATGATTCATATTTATTCAGAAACAAAAAACGTAAAACTACTAAAAAAATTAAAAATAAAGTTAATAAAAACTACTTAAAAAATTAAAAATGAAGTTAATAAAAACTAGTTAAAAAATTAAAAATGAAGTTAAATTTAAAAAAATACTTTTAATCAATTTTTAAATGAAGTTAAAAGAGTCAAAGTAAAAAAAGTACTAAAAGTAACTAAAATAAAAAGTATTATAAAAAAAAGTATAAACAATATAATGACATATTTTATGGTGAAAAAAAAATTCATTTTGAGTTATAATTAAGCTTGATTCAAGTTCTAAAAAAAAACTAAAGAACACAAAAATGCAAAATTCTTTTAAAAAAGTATTGTTGAACTTGATTAAACAGGCTTTAAACCTCCTCCAAATCTTCTCCAAATATTCCTCCAACTTATAAATTCTTTAAATAATTGTGAATGATTTCACAATCAACGAAAAAATTTAAAACTTATATAAAAATAAATCTGTTAAATTTCATAAATTTAGAACAAAGTAAGATGCTTTTATTAAACAAATAACGATATAGTTATATACCTGACTCATTTGATTTTATAGGAGTTGGAGAGTACTCACTCGTGTTCTTGATCAAATGTTCTGGTGTTATTTTTGGTGTTATTACAGCCTTGATTGTTACAAATGATAATGGAAAGTTAACTAAAATTAAATTTTTGGTGTTATTACAGCCTTGATTGTTACAAATGATAATGGAAAGTTAACTAAAATTAAATTTTTGGTGTTATTACAGCCTTGATTGTTACAAATGATAATGGAAAGTTAACTAAAATTAAGTTTTTGGTGTTATTACAGCCTTGATTGTTACAAATGATAATGGAAAGTTAACTAAAATTAAATTTTTGGTGTTATTACAGCCTTGATTGTTACAAATGATAATGGAAAGTTAACTAAAATTAAATTTTTGGTGTTATTACAGCCTTGATTGTTACAAATGACAATGGAAAGTTAACTAAAATTAAATTTAAAAAATACACATAATTTAGAAATTGAATTTTATAAAATTGGTAACAAATTGATTTTTTTTTTCAAATCAGAGATAAATCATTAAAGCGACTATTTTTTAAACTAGCGAGAATTACATATATATATATGCATAACTATATTGTTTAAAATTGAACGCTAAAAAACCAGACCAGAAAAGTTAAAAACTTGAGTTAAAAGTTTTTTTATAAATGATAGATTGCTTGCCCAAACCAAACCCTCAGACGATGTAGCGGCACTTCTTTGTATCTATGTCTATGAATGAAAAAAAAAAATTGACTTTGATGTGATTATCAAGCTTGTGGACTAATATCTCATTGCTGTCAAGCAGTAATCCATGATAAGGGCTTCCTGGCAAAGTATTAAAAAATTCTACTTCAAATTAAAACATTATAAATAAAATTGTGTTTAAAAAAGTTCACTAAGTTTCGTTGCCATTTAACTTTAGTCATTCAGTCATTTATGAACAAATAAGTTAAATAATAAAGTTATCATTATAATAGTTAAATAATAAAGTTATATAAAGTATATATAGTGTAATAAAGTTATATAATATAAAATAATAAAGCTATATTATATATAATAATAGTTAAATAATAAAGTTAAATAATAAAGTTATATAAAGTTAAATAAAAAGTTAATTAATAAAGTTATCACTAAACCTATCATTCACTAATATTTGTGGTCTTCGAAGTAACTTTTCTTCTGTTGAGTCTTATCTCTTGCAAAGTTCACCAAACCTACTTGCTCTTTGTGAGACTAATTTGAGTTCAGCTGTCTCATCTTGTGATCTTAGTGTTGATAGTTATCTTCCTTTAATTCGTAAAGACTCCAATAGTCACATGCTTGGTCTGGCCATTTACATTTGTAAGAATTCACTTATTTGTCGGGAAACTAGGTTTGAATCCACAGACTACTCTTTTATGTGCTTTCATTTAGCATCACTTCATTCTATCCCCTTTCTCTTTGTTCTATATCGCTCTCCTTCATCTCAAGACTGCACTCTTCTTGATTTTATTTCTGATTATATTTACCAAGCCCTCTCTCTTTATCCATCAGCCAATATTGTTGTTTTCGGTAACTTTAATGCTCATCACACTGAATGGCTTGGCTCTAGTGTAAGTGACTCTGCAAGCATTAAAGCCCACAATATTTGCCTTTCTCAATCCCTAACTCAAAAAGTCAACCCAAATTATTTACCTTCTCTACTCGACTTATGTCATGTGATCCAAATTAGTGCTCATTTTCTACACATTCACCCTTAGGTGCCTTTGATCACAGTTTGATCGCTCTAAAACTATTATCTCATTCTTCTTTATCATCAGAATCCCCCTATCGTTGTACATCTTACAACTACCTTAAAGCTGACTGGGACTCATTCGGTGATTTTCTTCGTAATGGCCCTTGGGTAGAAATCTTTTGTCTTTTTGTTGACAAATCTACTTCTTACATAACTTCATGGATTTAGGCTGGCATGGAATCTTTTATTCCCTCTCAACAATTCCAGGTCAAGCCCCATTCTTCTCTGTGGTTTTCCTCACATTGTGCTGCTGCAATAGCCAATCGAAACCATTACTTCCATATCTATCAACAAAACAATTCTCCAGAAAACAGACGTCTGTTTATTACTGCTAGAAACCATTGTAAAAAGGTTATGTCTAATGCCAAAGACTTTTATTCTCATGTCATGAAATCTCGTATTTCATCACAAAAATTAGGCTCTCGTGACTTCTGGAGAATCTCTAATAGTATCAATAATAAGGGCAAGTCTGTAATTCCACCCCTTTTGTATGGTTCAGACTTAATCACATCACCTAAAGACAAAGCTGAACTGTTTGCTAAGAACTTTTCATCAATAATATCTCTTGATTCTACTAGTTGCATTCTAACAGGTTGATCCATTGCTTGATATCTGTATCACTCCAGCTTCTGTATCTAAAGTGATTTCCTGCTTAGACTCTTCTGCAGCTTGTGGCCCAGACAACATACCTGTTATAGCTTTGCAGAAGTGTTCTCCGGAGCTGTCGTCTATCCTTTCAAAACTATTCAACAAGTGCTTATCAGAGTCTTGTTTTCCAGCCTGTTGGAAAGTACCATCTCTTATCCCTATTTTAAAAAATTCTGGAGAGCGATCTGATTCGTCTAACTACCGCCCCATTAGTCTCCTTCCTTTATCATAAGCATTTTTTTTAAATCTTTAAATAACAAATACTTAATCTCTCATCTTGAATCTTACTTAACTTACTTTTTGATCATCAATATGGATTTCGATCTTCTCGTTCTATGGCTGATTTGCTAACAGTAATAACCGATAGGTTTTATTGCGCATTAGAAAAAGGTGGAGAGGTTAAGGCCATCACTCTTGACATTTCTAAAGCGTTTGATAAAGTTTGGCATGCTGGTCTTCTCCATAAGCTTTCTTCTTACGGTGTATCTGGAAACATCTTTAAGATTATTGAATCCTTGCTTTCCAATCGTAGTATAAAAGTTGTCCTCGATGGACTACACTCTTCTTCTTATTCTGTAACCTCAGGGGCTCCTCAAGGTTCAATCCTTGACCCTATACTCTTTTTAATTTACATTAACGATCTTCCAGATATTGCCACATCTAAGGTGGCATTGTTTGCTGATGATACTACCATTTATTCTTGTTATGATAAGAAGCCAACTCCCTCTGATTGCTTGGGGAGGGCATTTGAGCTTGAAAAGGGTCTCACTTCTGCTACAGCATGGGGCTCACAGTGGCTGGTGAACTTTAATTCAGATAAAAATCAATTTTTTTCAGCCAATTGTTATCACAATAATTTAGACCTTCCTATATTTATGAACGGTAATGCACTTGATAGTCATCTACCCTTCATCTTCTGGGATTGACTCTTACTTCTGATCTTTCTTGGAAACTGTATATCAAATCCGTTGCAAAATTAGTATCTGCTAAAGTTGCATCTCTTTATCAAGCTCAACACTTTCTTAATCTGGATTCTATTCTGTCTATAAATCTCAAATCTGGCCTTGTATGGAATACTGTTGCCATATCTGGGGCGGATCTTCTAATGATGAATTTTTCTCTTTTAGACAATGTGCAAAAACGCATTGTAAACATAGCTAGACCTGCTCTTGCTGCCAACCTTCAACCATTATCACATCGTCGTAATGTTGCTTCTCTTTCTCTTTTCTATAAATACTATAATGGGCACTGCTCTAAAGAGCTAGTCTCTTATGCCATCTATTAAAATTCATTCTTGTGTTACTCATCATTCAATCAATTCTCATCCTTTTTCTGTTTCTGTTCCTAAGTACCCAAAAAACTCTTATTTGTATAGTTTTTTTCCTCGAACATCAGTTCTTTGGAATTTGCTTCCTTTATCTTGCTTTCATGATTCATATAATTTGCAATCTTTTAAATTGCCTGTCAATCGTTATCTTGCTCTACAGTCTTCATCTCTTTTCTTCTAGTAACTTCCAACACTAATTAGTGGTTGCTTGCAGCCTTGTTGGAAGCGAAGATTTTTTAAAAAAAAAAGTTTGGTCAAATGAGTTGTTCTCATTTGAAATAAATTATCTTTTATTTTTATAATATAAATTAACGATATATTTGTCTGTATAATTCAGTATAAAAATTGTAGAAATATCTATTTTTGCAATGTGCAAAGCTCAAGTGACCGAACTTAGAATATATTGCAGCGCATATATATATATATATATATATATATATATATATATATATATATATATATATATATATATATATATATATATATATGCATCTATATATGTATATATATAGATGCATCTATATATGTATATATATATGCATGCATGTGTGTATATATATGCGTGTGTGTGTTTATATGTGAATATGCTATTTTCAGCTGTTTTCATACATACTGTGAATGTTTGCTCACCAATTCTAATGGGACTTAACAAGTAATTTGGTATAGGTCTCAGAAGATTTCCATCAGGTAAACGAACTCCAACTGATAAATGATCATCTCCACTTGTATCTGACATAAGTGCCTCAATGTAATAACCTTGCTCTTTTTGCAAATCAATAGTTTTAGAAGTTTGCTGAGCTGGGTATCTAAAATGATTAACCTTTTATCAATTATTATATACAGATTTACAAAAACAATAATCTAATAGATATATTTTTTTAATGAAATAAAAAAAAGCTTTTTAATTAAGTTTTACTTGTCCCATTCATTGTGTTTGCTCCAATCATCCTGTGCAATAATAATTTTTTTATTTTTAGGATCATCATTATTGCTTATGTAGAATTCACACTCATCATCACAAGAGGTATAAAATATATATTTTCCAGATTGCGGGGGAAGAAACCATCCATGAACTCTTTGGCCATATTTATCTCCAAAATTTGTGGGGACATCAAATTCTTCTATATTTCCATGAACATCTGGTTTTCCAGGAAATTTATGGCTTGCAGTTAATGCCTCAATATTAATTTTAGATAATGATTCAAGATAAAAAACATCTCTTTGCAATCCATGAGATGCTAAATTGAATAATTTCAAAAAATTTATGATCTAATCATCTTATTATTTGCAACAAAAATATTTTACGCAGGTATAAAAATATTTAATGCAATAAACAAAATCATAAAGACACTAAAAACAAATTTTATAACTTAACCAATTTTATATTAAAATCAGTATATAAATTTAAACCTTTGTCTACATCACGCTTGTTTCGCTTTTGAGAAAGATCTAAATTAAAATTAAATGAAAATAAAATAAGTTTCTTCACATCCTTTATGAGTTTCCTGTATAAAAAAGAAGCAAACATTGTACAACACCTTGTTTTCAATACTTTTAATTTAAAAAAAAATTTTTATTTTATAGTCTTTGTAAAATTCTAATTCATTTAAGAGCCAAGTTAACTTTTGTCCACTTTTAGAGAAAAAATATTTTTAATATTATGTGAGACCTAGTAATCAAGGGTCATGGCAAACTTTTTTCAATAAGTAAATTAAACTAATGGTATCTTAGTAAACTTTAAAGCAGTTCACCTACTTTTATACAGGATACTGGAGATACATAAAAGACATCAAAAAATCATAACCTTAATATACATATATATTTACCATATTTTAACAGAAAAATAAATATTTAAATGAATAAAAAAACAAACATTCAGTTTTTCCATTGCTCTGAATGTTGACACTTTCAGGTTTTCCATCTAAACTATTTTGATTGATTGAGGTACTGTTAGCAACAAGACCAACAAATGCATTTGCTAAATTTGCTGCTCCACTACCTCCACCTACTTCTAATATTTCACCAACATTCGATGTAGCTCCAACAACATTCGATGAAGCTCCACCAACATTTGATGTAGCTCCATCATTGTTAGAACCAATGGTATCTGTAAATTAATATTTTAAATCTTTTGAAAACATGAACTTATTAAAAAAAATACTTAGTACCTAGAATTTCTAAATAATTACCTAAAGTACTTATTAGCTCAATCGCCACATTAACAGCATCAGAAGCAGCTTTGTTGATAGATTTTTGTATTGTGATTAGCTGTGGATCTGTATGAATAGCTTGGGTGTTGTCAAAAGCCATAGGAGATAAAGCTTGTTTGACTAAAGAAAAAAGTTAATATACAGTAATTAATATATTGTTTCAGAATTTAAAAAATAAATAGCTAAATAAACTTTTTTTTAAATTCAAAAAAAATATATACATTTCTAAATTTCTTTTAAAGTTTAATTTAAGAAACAAACCAGAAATTGTTAATTTCTTAAATATTTATATAATTTTTTCAAATTTAATTTTATTTAACCAATTAAATTTAAAAACTTATTATATATTGACAATACAAAAGACTTAACTAAGTATGTTGTTATGGATTTAAATGACTTATTAGAACTTTAATTTTAACTGTATAAAAATTATTAGGTTTTAGTTATTTTATGTGGTTTTATTTTGTTATGTGATGTTTAAGTTATGTGGTTTTTATTTTGTTATGTGATGTTTAAGTTATGTGGTTTTTGTTTTGTTATGTGATGTTTTAGTTATGTGGTTTTTATTTTGTTATGAGCAGGATGTTTTAGTTATGTGGTTAGCATGATTATTGAGTGATTATATTTTATTGTTTTTTAAAATCAAATTTCCAACTTTATTTAAAAGTCATTATTTAGTCAACTTATTGTTATATAGTTAAACTTATAATAACAAATTTATTATAAAAACTTTCTAATATTTCCAATGCACATAAAAATAATGACATTATTAAAAATGGCTTTGAAACAACAATACAACATTTATGGCTTGAAAAACAACAACAAAAATGGGAAATACAAATTTAACTTGAAAAAAAGTAATTTGAACTTAACAAGTGAAATTTTAGTTAAACTGAAAAACTTTAAAAAGTGTTTTCGCTCTTAACAGCTTGATATTTTCAACAACAGTAAAAAATTTCTTCAGAAAACTTTTTTAACGTTTTTAAGAGCAAAAGTTAAAGGTGACTTTTTTAAAAAGCTGTTTGATATTTTTAAACTGTTTAGTTTTTTAGTAATATTATATTGTTAATAAAACTCAACATCGATGTTGTTATGAACATACATGCAACATTAAATAAAGTTAAAAATACAACTTTTCAATTTAAAAAAAAAAATCAACAACATGCGGTGAATAAAAAAAATTGCTAAGGTAAAAAAAAATTTATTGCTTAAGAATAATAAATTGTAGAATAATAAAACCGCTTTGGTTTAACTATTTTTAAAATTTGAAAGACAAAATAATTAAGATTAAAAGTGACATGCAAAAAAAAAATATTAACATCATACCTTCAATATTTACTTCATAGTATTTAACAACAAGCACATATTCTGCTTTCTGTGGAGTTTATAAATTTGATCAAGCAACATGCAAATAATCATGCACAAAAATAATTATCGTCTATTGAAATAACATAATCTTATCTGTTAACTTTGGTTGCAACACTACAAACATAAGTTGTTCTTATGTTAAAATGTAATACAAACACCATGTTTATTTCTAAAAAAGTTGCAATCTAAACTAAAAACTGCATTTAAACTGTTACTGTCTATGATTGAAATTTTCAATTGCAGTAATATAAACACAATAACCTTTGAACAATATATTTTCTTATACTTAAAATAAATAATGCAACAGGAATAAAGAAGACAAAACTTATTGAAGAATCTTTGGCAATAGTTTAAATAGAAGATTATTTTGGTAGTATTAGTAATTTATAAAGAATTTAAAAGAATGTTAAACTGTCTTCATTAATACCATGATAAATAAAACATTAAAGAAATTATACATGCTAAATTCTTCTCTATGTCATTTTTTGGAGGTTCAGATAGCGTAGTCGTTGGAACAGCACGCGCTGCTAAAAAAAAAAATTTTTTTTTTTTAGATTTCAATCAAAGAACATATTAAAGTATAGAAACTTCAAAAAGTTATCTAAAAACTTTTTGTTGTTTCATTTAATAATGCACCTAAAGCCATTGTCTTTAAAGTCTCAATGTCATTAAACCCTTACCATTAATCCCTTACCATTAATCCCTTACCATTGATCCCTTACCATTGAACCCTTACTATTAATCCCTTACCATTAATCCGTTACCATTAAATCCTTACCATTAATCTCTTACCATTAATCCCTTACCATTAAATCCTTACCATTAAACCCTTACAATTAATCCCTTACCAATAATCCCTTACCATTAATCCCTTATCATTAATCCCTTACCATTAATCCCTTACCATTAGTCACTTTTCCATTAACATTATTGTAATTAGTATCTCTTCCAGCACTGGTTTGCTCAGTTAATGCTTTAAGAGTTGAAGGCTCCAATGCAAGTTGAATCTTTATTGGATCTGAAAAATATTTAGACAAATCACTAAAACTTTGAACAATTTTTAGAATGCTAACAAGATTTTTTATCATTCTAAATAACGTAACGTAGTAACGTAAGAGTAGTCAGCAACAATGTATGTAAATAATGTAAGAGTAGTCAGCAACAATGTATGCAAAACTTGATTAGGTATGCTTTGAATTAGATGCGTTATAATGTATTTATTATTGTTACAAAATATTAGTTGCTAGAAACAAACATTTGCCAAACTTATTCTGTTAAAAGCAAAATTAAAAAATAATTTTAACAAATTGGAATTTGTAGAAGTATATTTGATTTGATGCAAACTTTATTTGGTAATAATGTATATATCAATAATTTGGTAATAGATTTGCATTAAATAACTGAAAAAATGCTCAGGCATTAAATTGGTACCCCTTGAATAAACAGTACATTTATATATTTTTACCTAATCACGCTGCCTCAGCTTCAGAGCCACTGATACTGAGAAGGCTTGTGTTTTTTTTTTACTTGTGTTTTTATTTATTTTGGTTTTAAATTCTTTCTCATATCAGAAATCTTGTTTAATACCATAAACCTTGTTTAAGTAAGTTAAAAAGAAACAGTTTAATTATGGTACTTCCAGAGGTGTAAGGTAGATTTAAACACGAAACCTCATATTTGTGAGCAGAGTGTTCTACAACTAGTATACTCCTGATTAAAATTATTATTACATTTTAATACAAAGTAAATGATTGGTACCCCTCAAACTGGTGGAATAACATTATTTACCTACCATACCTACTACTCACAAAATAAAAAAAAATAAAAAAATAAAAGTATGAAAATAACCATTCTTTGCAGCAGTATTTAATGCCATTGGTTGACTTTTAGGAAGAGTAGCAGAAAAAGTAGATGCTCCAGTATTTAAAGGTGAAGAAGCAGAAGGCTCACCTACTGGTACAAGTTTCAAACTACCATAAGGTGTTTGTAAAGTTTGTCCAGGTTTGAAAAACAAAGATTTTTTTATTGCTTCAACGCTATTACTTTCATAACCAGGTTGTTCATTTATACCAAAATCAGATGTATCAAAAAGCAAAGCGCCATTATGAGACGGAAGCAGATGCACAGGACCTGTAATAAAAAGATTCTTGACACTAACAATCATTTATAACTATTTATAACTTTAAAAGTATAAGGCTTTTTATAAGTTTTTATTATTTCTTTAATGATTTAATTTTAAATCGAACTACATGTTTTTAATTAATATAACAATAATATTTATATAACAATTAATATTTAACACATAAAGTTTTACAATTGTACAAGCAAAAAATTAACAACAGATAACTACCAAAAAGCTGAGTCAGGGCTGCTTACCTGTATTTCGCTTTGTAGCGTTATTGTTTCTTATTTTATTCAAAATATATGTTGGGGATTCAGAACTGATAGGTTCTGTAACTTTTAAAATTCCATCAGCAGCGTCACGGTCTGACTTAATTTCTATAACATTACCTTTCCTAATATCAGATAGAGGCTGACTAGTACCCTGGATGTATTCAGATTCATCTATTATTTGACTTAATATAGCAGCTCCTTGCTTAGGATCTCCATGACCAATTTTTTTGGCAAGATTTTCAATTGCTTTTTCCTCAGCAGAAAATATTTTTGATTTCATTAATTCCCTGTCTTTGATTTTTTCGAGTTCCAATTTTCTTAGTAAATTATCCCTTTCTTTAATTTTTTCGCTGCTAGGAAAAATGGATCCTATCTGTGAAGCAAAATGCTGTTCATCAAACTTCATTAAGTCATGAACTTTATTTAGTATTTTTAATTCACTATTCTTATTGAAATTTTCTAGGTTTTCTAGTGCATGATCTTCTAATCGAACTGTGTTTAAATATTTTACACCATTTTTAGTATGGTAACAAATCATGACCTTGTTTTTTTCAGATTGAAAAGGGCAGGGGAAAAACACTCTTTCTTCACTATCAAAAGCAGGTAATAACGTCTTTTTTTTGTCAAATGCAGATTCATCATTTTCTGTTTTTGGAACAAATTCTTCATTTTTAAAGCTGTTTTTGCTGTTTTCATCATGGTTTTTACCTTGAGAGTATGAATTAAAAGACTGATGTTCGACATTTCTGTTATCACGATTCCAATGATCCTGATCTCTCATTGCCTCTGATTGAAATTCTTTATGATGAAATGATTTTGGCTTTTTTTGTCTATGTTTATCATTTGTAACAGTAATCCCTTCATCATTTAATAAATGTTTTGTTTTTACTGAATTCGACTCACTTGTCTCATCATCAAAAGAAGAATCATTTTCATCTGCACAGTTTTTTTTTTGACAGCCCTTTGTTTGAGCATTAGAGGAACTGTAAAACATTTTTAAAAGCATGCCAATTCCACCAGAATGAAAACGCTTGTCATGAAAAAATCTTTTTGGAAAAAAAGATACCTCTCTCAGCGGTAACGATTGAATAGCTTTCTGAAATGAAACATCATCGCCATATTCTCCTTTGTCTAAAAAGTAAAAAGGGTCTTTTGAATCTTTTTTAAAATTTGAAGAATCATATTTTTCTTTAACAAAATCTTCAGAATCAATATTATTAGAATGCATGCTTGATTGATTTTCAGGATCACTGCCAGATTCTTCGCTAGATTCTTCATTTTTTTCATATTTATTATTATTGCTTTTATCTTCAAAGTATTTCTTCACTATTGACAGATAATTTTCCATGGCTTTTTCATGACTTCTCTTGTAATTTTCTTCCTTGGCTTTTTTTTGTAAGTATCTCAAGAAACCATTAAAAGAAAAACCTTTGTTACCAAATTTTTTAAGAAAGTTTGAAAAGATTTCACTAAAAACATGTTCATCTTCTTCATCTAAACTTTTAAAAGTGTGTTCAGATGGATGATTCTTGTATAGCTCATTATATTCACAGTCTTTGCATTGATCATGAGAGTCTGCATAAGAACTACCTGAATTATCAAATGTTGGATGACTTTCATATTCATTTCCAATAGTAGCATCTAGATCTTTTGTTGTGCCAATTGTTGCGCTAAGGTCTTGAGTAATAAAACTCTTCTTAAATGGTTTTTCGTGTATCATAATGGATTTACTGTGTATTGTCTGTGAGTTTTGTCGATTGTTTTGTTGCTGTATGTCATTTAGTAACAGTTTGTTGTCTATGAAAAAAAATATATATATATATACAAAAAAGTCATTAAAAAATTTGTATTACTTTTTAAACTTTTTATTATTTAATAACTAATTATTCTAAAGTTTTTTATAGTTGAAATTTTTGTTTATGAAATCATCAAAAATATTTTAAAAGTATTATTTAACAATTAAAATACTTTTAAAAACAAAAAAATTATAAACAAATTGTATAGCTTTATTAGAAAACTTATTTGAAATTTAAAAAAAATAACAATGTGCTAAAATAAACGACAAAAATCGATGCATGGGGTCATCCATAAAGAATGTCATTCAGAATTTAAATACTAGCTAGAAGTAGAAGTTTATTGGCTCCCTTTCGCAAAGATTTTTAATGAACATAAGGCGCTATAATCTTTAAAAATCTCTGCGCATGAGAGCCAACATTCTCCTACTTCTTACCATTAGTTAAACTTGGTGTGACGTCTTCTATGGATGACCCCCATGATTAAACTCATTTTTTCCCTGCCACCCATATGATTTTTTTATAAACTATTTTAAATAAGTTGTACTAACACATATGTTGGTTTTTATTGCAAAACATTGCAAGCTGGCATTATTTCACAAATATAATAGATGATTGATGATTCAGCATTTTGTAAGACATGACATTGAGTTTTAAAAAAATAAGAGAATTAATAAAAATAAAATAAACATTAATGACAATAATGATAACAACAACAACAATAATAATAATAATAATCAAGTATCTTTATTTTCTAAAAAATGTTATAAATAATATTAAAAATAAAATAAACCATTACCCAGTTCTAATCCCATGTTGATAAGATTTAATGAATCCGGATCATTTTGAAATAAAACTTCTGGATTACTTGAACCATAAACTTGCTTATTATAATCAATTACATCAGGGTTTTGCCAATCTTGCCAATTATCCATATGGTTCGTCAATCTTGCTCCTAAAGTTTTAAAATTATCACAAAGGTTTTAATTTTAGCTTTTACAGCTAAACTTCTATATATAAGTTTTTACCAAATATAAACTTTTCAAGTGAAAAAAAAAAAAAAAAAAAAGTTTTGTTAAAAGTATTTGTCAAAAAATCTGTGAAAACATAAAGAATTTAGATCTAAATAAACTTTCATAAATAAAAATTCATTTAAAAACAACAGAATATTAGTTTTAAGAATCAAAATGTTTTAAATGCTTTTTATTACATTCTGGATTGAAAAGGTAATTGTACAGATTGAGGCATTTAAGTCATTTTATTATCGTGAGTTTTTTTTTTTACGAAAAGAAGATATATCTTCTTTTCATAAAAAAAAAAAACTCACTAAAATGACTTAAATGCCTCAATCTGATTGGTTCAAGAGTAGCAACACAAGGTTTAATACTCTCTGATTAAAACTTTGGGGTTAAGAATAAATCATGAAATTGGTGAATATTTGACAGTAAACTATTTTATTTTGTTCTGCAATCAAAAATGAGGGAATCATTTTTTGTCTAACTTTTCTTAATTTCTTTTTGAAGGATGCCACTTTAAATAAAGATTTTGAAATTTTAAATATAAAAAAACAAATTTGGACTTGTTACTACAGACTTCATCCTTGTCACTAACTCTCGAACTATTTTATTTTGTGAGTATAGCAAGTTTGATGTTTAGTTAGAAAAGAAAAACATGACAGCATTAGCTTAGTGACAACATTGTTATTCATTTTGTATACAAATTTTAAAATTTAAAATAGCCAATATTTCTGTGATAATGGCTTTTGACTGGTTTAGATGAATATTACTACTTGTGTACCTGTTACTATGGTTAATGAAAAGAGTAATCTAGTAAAATAAAAGACATTTTACAATTGGCACTAATGAATGCTTCTTATTCCTTAATAGCATTCTGTGAATTTGAAGCCATTATTTTAAAACAATATAAACATTTTGAAAAATATTAGAAAATCAAGGTATTTAGATATTTACAGAGACTATCTGCAAAAATATTTATTACCAGTAAATTTTTCATAAAAACTCAACACTAGTTCTATTTAAAATGTGTTATATTATTTATATTTTAACTTTTTAATAAAGATTGCTTATATATAGATTAATATCAACTTGTAAAGAACACATCAAAATTTCTCCTGTAAACTTATTATAATCAATTAATACATAATGTATTGTAATGGTATACCTAACCCGAAAATGTTGGGATCGTTGTTTCCCATATAGTTTTCATTAAATCCAACCTGTGAATGTAATCTACCAAAATTTTTTTGATATGCATTATTTAGGTTACTTATTACTCCAGTTCCAACAAAACCATCATCTTCTCCTGGGCACAACTCATCATTATAGTTACTTCCTTGAATAATCGGATGATTATAATTTTCAATTGGTGCATTCAACTGAAATTCATTTTTTCTTCTGTAGACATTGAAACCACAGTTAGATCTTCTTCCCTGATTATTTAAACCATTTACACTTTGAGATCTATGCATTCCATTACCACTTTGTTCTCTCAGTTTCACACCACTTATGTCTTGTAGGTAATTGTTTTCACTATGAGATGAACTATGAGCTGTACTGCTGTCTTAAAAATAAAAAGATAATATATATACATACACACTTTTGCTTTGCTGCCTTTAACTTTTTTTAAATTAATAAACTGCCTGCCCAAACCAAAACCCTCAATCAATGTAACAAGTAACTTCTTGCATGTTCTACCTATTATAGAAATCTATCATAGAAAAACTTATCATAGAAAAGCAAAATCAAAAAAAACAACTAAAAATGTTTTTTGTAATTGCAAACCAAAAGAAATCTACCCGATGAATAAATATTGTACAACAACAAATATAATATTCAAATATATAACATCTTCCCCAACACACCTAACAAAGAATACACTTGTATTCTTTGTTAGGTGTGTGGAAAAAACAGAGATGATTGCTTCCTAAAAATGTTGTATATACATATATATATATATATATATATATATAATATATATATATATATATATATATATATATATATATATATATATATAGCTTAGTTTAGCACTTGCAGGGACAGATTTTGCAAAAAAACGAACACTTACGGTGACATTAGCATTATCGGGGACATTTTAGTGTATCCGTTAATTTCTTGTCTCTGTAAGCATGATTTTTTTTGCAAAAAAATGTACTCGTAAGAAACTTTTATAGAAAACAAAAAGTACATACATCGACTGACAAATAGCCTGACTCGCAAGGGAGTGCTGCTACATCGACTGAGGGTTTGGTTAGGCCAGGCATCAAGGTCAGGCTTAAGGTTACAGCAAGGTTTAAATTTGGTTACTGTAATTAATCGTTTTTGTAAATAGATGAAGTTAAAAATAAAATATAATTTAAAATAACAAAAATAAGATTTAATGAAAATTTTATATTTTATAATATAAAATAACAAAAATAATATCAAAAATATATTTTTATAATAAAATAATAAATTTAATTATGTATAAATAAAAATAGAAAATAAAAAACAAAAAAAAAAAACATAAATGTGATAAAAATAGTATAAAAAAAGTAAAAAAAACAACAAACAGAACAGGAACAAAAAAACAGTTATTTAACTTACAAATTTTTTTTAAATTAAATAACTGTTTTGTACATTAACGACTTCATTGTTTTTCGTAATGCTACATTGATCATATTCTATTGAAATTAATTGTTTGAATGACTTTTCCTAAAGTCGTAAAACGTAGGTGCCTCTGAATCTTAAGTAATATATTCAAATAATAATGAAGTTTTTACTTAAGCTGAAATATTTTTTTATTTAATAATTAAATATTATTTTTGTTTCAAACTTCCACACATTTTGTCAAAACTTATTTTGTATTATTGTATTCACTCATATATTACTAGCATAGCTGATATATATAAAATGCCTTAAAATCACATTGATTCCTAGATAACATTTATCGTCAAGATGTAATCAAAACAATTTGTTCTTTTGACTAGTGTATATACGTTTCTATAAACATTTGACTAGTGTATATTAATACTTTTGTTTTTTTCATTATCATTAAATATTTTTTATCTTTAAAAAAAACATATCTTCACAAATATTAACTACGAAAAGCGACGTTGACATTATATGAGAATATTTTTTTAATAATAAAGTGAAACTGTTAAAATTGTTTTATCATTTGTTTTATCATTGATTATCATAGAATTATATAACTTAAAGTACAATCTGATTTTGAGAAGTCCAGTTAACAAATTATTACTCTTAAAAGACTTGTTAGTTTTAGAAAAAATGTTGTGGCTCATTCATAGCACAGAGTGGCTCTTTCATTGACAAGATGTTATGAAAGATCTGATTTCTCCCTTTTTTTTAAATAGGTGTATGACAGATTATCAGCATTGCTATCCAACTTATTTTAACTTTATAATATTACCCAATAAAGTAACTATTTAATGAAGAAAATTTTTTTTTATTAGTCAAAATTGACTTTTTTTCATACCTTTTTAAAACTGGCTCTTTCATACACACTCTCCCCTATATATATATATATATATATATATATATATATATATATATATATATATATATATATATATATATATATATATATATATATATATATATATATATATATATATATATATATATATATATATATATATATATATATATATATATATATATATATATATATATATATATATATATATATCGAAATAATTATTCAATGGTTGCTGATCCACTGTAGATCGGCTGAAATAAAAAAAATTAAAAACCAGATGATCAAATCATTTTTTAGATAATAAATTTTTTATCAAATTTTACCAAAATTTAAAATGCATATTTTTTTTACCTTACATAATCAAATTGCTATTGCTGTTTGAACTTTAATTATATTATTTAGAATTTAAATGTTTGTTTTGCTGTATTTTTTAAAAATCTTTTATCTTGAGTATAAATAAAACATTGAGGTATTTATTTTAATTATTTTATTTATTATATAAATAATTTATTTTATTTAGAATTAAAATAAAACTTTGGCTTTTTTTTTAAATTATTTGTTTAAAGATGTTCATTTAAAATAAAATATAAATTAGTTTTTGTTTTTTATGTTCATTTGTTTTATTTGAAATACTGAATCTTCCAGGACATGGAAGATTTTGAATTGTATTGTACCTTTATCTGCCAATTATTCTGATAAGTGGCATGTGTTGTGTTAAAATGTCTTGCAGCTTCTCTCATTAAGATGTTTTGTTCATTCATTACTATGATTTTACGTTTTGTCATATTATCAATAATTTTGCCAGTCAATTTGATTGTTTTATTGCTATTGTAGCTAGATTTTTCTATTATTTATAACAATTAAAATAAAAGTGCAAAGTTTTAATCAAAGACAAATTAAATATTGAAGGAAGTTTGAAATAATAGAGTAGATTGTTAATTTTGGAATATTTTTATAGATTATGGAATTATATAATTTTGGAATATTTTTATAGAATATTTTTATAGATTATGAGATATATGCAAAAAAAAAGCAATATAATTAGCACATCAAATAATATTTTTATGAATATCTATATTTATTTTAAAGAAAAAAGAATGCTCATCAATATATATATTTTTTTATATTTAAGAACAATCAAACAATCATTGATTTAATATCAACCAAAGTCAAATGATATTAAAAAACAAACATGCTGGATTGTTATTAAGGGTCAATACTATATATATATATATATATATATATATATATATATATATATATATATATATATATATATATATATATATATATATATATATATATATATATATATATATATATATATATGTATATATATATATATATATATATATATATATATATATATACGCACACATAACAAACTAAATTTGTCAGACTCATTAAATAAAACATACCAAAATGATTGCTTGCAACACATTCACATTTCTTTTTTCCATCACCTAAAGTTACATTTATTAACTTTGTTATTTTAACTCCATTTTATTATACATTTACTATGAAATACAGAGTATCTGTAACAAAGCTTTACATATTTTTTACAAATGGATGTAAGTGACATAAAAACTGATAAATATACATAAAAGGGCAAGAAGCATAAAAGAGGAGGATACATAAAACAAAAATTTAAAAATGCATATGTTGAATGAAGGCAATCAAAAGTTAGACAATAAATAATATAGATATAATGTAGTTATAATAGGATTAAATTTTATAGCTTAAAATATAATTAACTTGTTAAATAATTAACCTTCTATTTTCTCTTTCGAGTAATGTTCATCAGATGACTTGCTATGAACTAACAATAAACAATGTAAAAATTTTTCTGTCCAAAATTAATAATATATAAAAACAATTATGAATTTTACACGATCACTATATGTTGAGAAAATAATGATTACCCATTACCATTATCTATTCTTAACAATGTTTAAAAAAAATTAATGTTTTTTAAAATTTGTTTTGAATACTTTTTATTATAATACATTTAAAAAAAATTATTTTTATAACAATGTTATAAAATAAAATTATGAATAAATAAATATACAATTTGTATACTTATGCATGAACAGTGCCGCTGAGAGGGGGGAAGGGGGAGGGGGTGAAAGGGACAGTTTGTCGGCAGATATTCAAGAGGCGCCAAAGGAAAAGAAGAGACATAAAAAATAAAAAATAAAAAAATAAGAGTGCTAATCAGGGTTGCTGTTTCAGGCGGCATGACGGCTCTCAGCAGCCCTGCTGAGAGCCGTCACGTCAAAATTGAACCCAAATATCATTGTAGCAGTTAATGTTTGAAAATGATTAAATTTGTTTTCTATTAACATTAAACCTCAAGTGCAATAATATAGTTAAAAAGAGTTAATATATATCTGTTGTTATAACCGTGTTCTTAATATCTTGTTATAACCATGTTTTTAATATCTGTAAGGTTATAAAATGTATAGCTTAATAATGTTGATGGTTGGTTAAAGCGTTTGTTATGAACCTTTTGCATATACTACCATAACTGGTTCTACAAAAATGGTTTGTAAATGTAGAAAAAAATTGAATTCTAGAGTTTTGCAAATATAAAAAAAAAAATTGGATTCTAGACTATACAGATCAAAACTTAGAGCAAGCTTGTATTGAAATTAAATGTGGAGTTATGAGTCAATGATTTACTAAATAACAATTAGCCGTTCCAGCATTAGGAGAGCACTTCAAAGGTGATCCCTTACTATCACAAAGAAACCTGCAGGGCATTCAGTTGTCTTTATTCTGTGATCATTTAAATAAGGTTTCGTCTTTTGGCAACCCACTGATCTTATTTGATCTTGAAATTATTGTGAAAATTTATTTAGATTGATTGATAAAGTGGGGGAGGGAGAGGGAATGGTGTTCAACGTTTCAATAAAAATCTTCCAGGTATCTAATGGGTAAACCCCTTTACTAGAAAACATTATCAGCTATCTCAGAGATTCGCTGGAAGCCTCAAAAAGTTATATACTTTTTACACTATGGGTTCATATAGCCCCACAACAGGGGCTACTGGAACCTAACTTTAACCTCCAAAAAAAAGATATTTTGAGCAAACATCTATGCAAGAGATAGACAATAACTTTTTTTTTTACCTACAGTTACCTGTAGTTAAAAAAAAAAGTTATTGACAAATACTGATAAAAATAAACTTTTTTTTTTATCAGTATCTGTCCATAACTTTTATTCTTTATGTACAGTTTAGGTGGATTTTTTTAGACACCAATTGATGCCTTTTTTTGTAAAAATAGGAGTGTCAAAAGATTTCAGCTCCACTTTGAAGTCTTTGACTTTGAAGCCCATGAATAACTTGATGTAAAATTTTTTTATTTTGATATTGAAAAAAATTCGAAATTTACATATTTGAGGTTACAGATATATTTAACATAATTAAATGATTAATATAATCAAGAACTTCTAAGTTCATTAATTGTTTTTTAGATATAAAATTCTAATGAAAAAACTCAAGCTAATTTTTAAAGAAAAAATTCAAGCAAACTTTTAAGGAAATATTCAAGCTAAATTTTAAGGAAAAATTCAAACTAACTTTTAAAGAAAAAATTCAAGTCAAAAATTCAAATTACCTGCTTTAACTGGTTTAACGGAATGATCTTTTTGATTTTCTAAAAAAAAGTTTACACTTAATTTTTCTTAAATAGTTTCAAAGAAAATATATTTACTGGTATACAATAACTTTTTTTCTACAATAAGAGACAATCTAATAATATTATCTACTGAAAATGATTATCTGCCCAAACCAAATTATCAAGGATAGTCACATTTGCAGATGCTTTAAATAGTCACACAGTATATAATGACAAACCAAGTGACATATATAGCTTGCATCTTAATTTTGTAACCAATTGGTTGACAACTCACCACGCATACAGATATCAGTGGTGAAAACAATTTGGAATAAAACATTTTATCAATAGAGCTACTTTTAAGAAAACTCTGCAAAAAGCAATTAAGACAATTACCAAAATCAAACTTAAATTGAGACTAAATAATTGAACCTAATTATTTATAATACTATAAAAAATTTATAATTTACTTCACCTTTTTATTAACAATCAAAATTAGCAAAACACAATTTTAAAAACAACTTTAGAATACCAACAATATAGTCAAAAAAGCATATCCAATAATTCTTGATATGCTATATATATATATATATATATATATATATATATATATATATATATATATATATATATATATATATATATATATATATATATATATATATATGCTTAAATCTTAATATGCTATTAAAATTATTTTTAAAATAAAATTTGTGACATATGCAATATAACTAAAATATCATAAAATAAATCTACCAGGACATGTACATTCTCTTTTGCTTCCTTTTGAACTGTTGCTTTTTTTGATTGTTCTTGGGTATCTTAAAGATGCAGCAACAACAGGAGTCATTACATCTAAATTAAAGAGCAACTATATTTTTTATTACATTCACAGCTATTACAACCTAGATACTAAGTTTGAAATTTTTGAATTTTTTTATTATTGATATTTGATGTCAAAAGCTTAAATGTAAAACATGAAATTTTTCAATCAATATATTTTTATAAATATTTTGAATATACTTTATTAAAAAAAATAAAAATCAAAATTTCTGAGGTAAGGTAAGATATATAAGGTTAATATGTTAAATGGATAAGACAGGTTGATAAAATCAATGGCAGAGTCAAGTTAATTTATAACACAGTTATACTCAGAGTTACACCACTTGCTAAACATATTTTAAAATATTCATTATTACTGCTTTGGTACAAATACTCTTGATGAATCATTCCATTGTGAATGTTTCATCAAGAATTAAATTAAACCATCAATCATTCATTATAAATGACTTGATGACTTAATTTGTCTCACTTTTTTGCTATTTGATTAATTTATAAACTGTTTATACCTTTTCCATTTTCCTTGTTAAATAGTGATGCTCTCTTGACTTCATCACCATACAAGTGTTTTTTTTCTGAAACTTTAATAAGAAATTTTATTGGTTCTGCATTATTAATGTACAAATAAAAAATTTTAATGATTAGAAACACACAACTTAAGTAAAAATTACCTCGTTTTAGATATGATGATTTGATACATATTATGACCAAAAGGAAAAATACTAATAAACACTTCATATCTAAAAAAAAAGGTTGTATTTAGTGATGTTTTTATTATTTGTTTTTATTTTTGAAATTGTTATTAACTTTTAGTGGTACTAAAATAAGCATGAAGCCGCCAGACATGGTTTTTGTCAATGGCAAACCACAAAATGCGCAAATTCATAAAGCAATCAAAACTATACATGCTAAATTTAGGCTTGCACTACAGAATGTAATTATGGGTTAGCAATATCAATTTTTAAATAAAATCAAATGTAGCAATTTGTGAAAAAATGTAAAAAAGATCACGTGTCTTAAATGATAAACAACATGCAATACAACTACTGTGGACTCTATTTAGCAAATATATAATGTGCATGAGAATAGTAATTTATTTCATTTATATTGCCAGTACCATGTATGTTACTATTCATTTTTATTTAACCTTAGGCTAAAAAACAGCAAAGGTTGCAGGCCTGATGGTATAGCAATATCTATTGTGCAAGTACTTAAAAACAAATTTGTTCATAATTTCTGTTATAAGTATTTACAGTCCATTATCCATTTTTAATTGAACAAGAAAGCTTTTAGGGCATGTGACGCTTTGCAGCTTTCAATCTTACAACTCTGTAAATGTCGAGTATTACTTTTATTTCAAGTGATTTAACAAGCTTAAGTTCTAAAATATGAAGCACTATTTGTTTAAAAATTACATGTGATTTAGGTGGCATTATTGCCAAATTAAAACTTGGTTGTCAGTTTGCTGGTATGTTTGTTACCATCTTGCTGTATGCAGATGATTTAGTATTGACTCGATGGTCTGTCATTATGTGTGAAAGAGCATTTATTGAATTTGAACAAGTATTTTTACAAGAACTAGTACTATATATAGACTTAGTTGTAAAATTCGATGTAAATAAATCATAGACTCTGATATTCATGTCATACAACTGCTTCAGGCAAGTTAACCTTTTTTTTCTCCTAGCTTTGTATTGGATGCTAGTCACCTGAAAAATCAGTTTTAAATATTCATGTTGCATATACACTCTAAATAATGACAATATTTTGAACCAAATAAAGTCTGTTTTATGCCAGAGATATGTGTTAGGCAAAGATGTGTTAAGTCTATCTGTCAAATTATGTTTGTACTCAGTTTAATGACTTCTGCCATAAAAACTTTTTACTGACTTAAAGAGACTCAACCTGTATATATAATATATCTATTTATAAATTTTATAAATGTTACCATAATAATCTTAGAACTTAATTAACTTTTTTGAGACTAATCTGCACAATGCAAAATCTTGGTTTAAAGCTTAATAAAACTACAGTCTTTTTAAATAATTAACCTTAATTAAAACTGAAGTCCTAATACATCCTAACATATTTGTTAAGTGTGCTTGTACTATTCTAAACCATTTATAGATAGTATTTTGGTTTTTGCTGTTCTTGTTTTTTATTTATTTTATGGGCTTATGTAATCTGAATTAAGTTAACAACAACAATAACTAACCTGTTCAGATGGGTATAAATATTATATATAAAATACTATATAAGTTGCTGAGTATAAATATTATATATAAAATAGTATATAAGTTGATGAGTATAAATATTATATATAAAATAATAAAAAATCTAGAAATATTTTTCCTTTTCTTATAAGATCTTTTAAGACCTTTTATTAAAAGATCTTTTAAGACTTTTTCTTATAAGACCTTTCTTTTAGAAATCCTTTAAGAAAAGGACTAAGAAGAAGTCCTTTTCTTCTTAGTCCTTTTTTTAAAGGATCTTTTAATTATATACAATAATAAATTATTGAATAATTTTTTATATATCCTATAAAACTATAAAAGCTCTGTAGGAAGGGTAAGAATAAAGACACCATTTCAGATCACACCATTTTATTTTGAAAAAATAAATTAAAACATCATCTCAGAACTTTTAAATAAAATGCTACATAAACCTTATCCACGAACATTATAATATAAAATTAATCAACAAATATTACAATACAAATTTTATTTGCAAACATTACAATATAAATTTCATCCAAAAACATAACAATATAAAAATAAAAATAATCAATATAAAAAAATATATTATTCTATAAAAAATTTTTTTTAGTAAATCTTTCTGCAACTTTTTACATCCTTGGCATCACCATATTTCAATGCTAGAGTTTTGGAACTAGTAGATGTCAATTTTAATATTTTTATTTATTTTTTTATTTTTTTGGTGAAAATTAAATATTTAAATACCGCTTTTACCACCCACAATCATCTCGGGCAAATGCCTCTGCTACTGGCTGTTACGGCTGAAATTTAATACAAATTTTAAAACTTTGTTCTACTTTATATTAATTTATGTGGTAATATTATTTTTTATGTTAAAATACTTTGAAAAAACATGAATTAAAGAAATTTGCAACAATTCTACACCTAGAGAATTTGAGTGCTTGAAGCTATTTTGAAGCAGGGGCCCTAAACAGACACACTGCCATTAAAAGAAAATAAGAAAAAAGTTCTTAAGGGGCAACTACTCTCAAATTTCAAAACAACACTTATAAAGTAACATTTTTTTTAGTCATATAGTAAACATTATACTGACATTAAAAATGCCAAAATATACTCAAAATGGTACCTTATTGCTACGGCAACTCAAAAAAATAGCTAAAAAAACCACAAAAACTGTGTTTACGCCGGGAAAAAAAGAAAGAATTATGAGTAAAGTATTGTCAATGAAATTTTGTAGAACTGTTCTAAATATGTAAAAATACAAAATTTTTTGTAGAACTGTTCTAAAGGTCAAAATACAAAGAAAAAAACTAAATAACTCAAAATCTCAAGTCATGAGAAATTCTACTCCGCTCATATCATAAACATTGGTAAAATGAACAATCCCTGAAAATTTCATTATGATAGCATGTATACTTTTCATGATTTTTTTCCCAGCGTGTTTAAAAATTAAATTCTCAAAAAACGCAAAACAAAAAATAAAATCATAAATTATTGTTCATTTCATAAAAATATCTTTAAATAAAATTTTAAAAGAATATTTCAAAAACTACCAGATTCATAATATTCCTAGGATTTTTCTATTGACTTTTGATGATCATTCTTTGATAATCGTTGACTTCGTAACATCTTTCGTTTTATCTTAAAACTTTCACTCGATTTAAATAATGATAGTTTTATTCGTTTTTTGTTTATGAGTCTGCAACCAGCTAAAGTAAAATATCCTGGTTTCATATTTAGTTTTTCATAAATTAAAATGACAGACTTCATACTGATGTTATAATTTGCAACAGCATCGTACACTCCAAACTCTAAACTGGCTAAACCAACATAATTACTTTTTGGTAATCTATCCCATATTAAATTATTCAAACCTCGTTGCAAATCTGGGTTTTGCCATCAGACACTTTACTAATTCAGAATCTTTACTTAAATCAGCATATATTGGCTTGATTTTGTGAATAATATCCGCAGGAATTCCTGGTCCAGGTTTGTAAATGGTAGTAGACTTAGCTTTATCAATGCTAAACTTACACCAAGTATCACCAGTCGGGCAGTAAATATGTTATTTTCCTTAGAAGAATCTACATGGAAAAGGCTAGCTAATACTGCTTGTTTCATTTTATTCAGATCATTTGTATTGCTCCGGATAGCTACACCAAATTTTTTTTGCAAGCGATCAATAACTGCATTGGTTAGTTGACCACGACCACCTAGATCCTTAACATTTTTTTTTAATTTGCGTAAGCGAGTACTGACTCGTTTTTGGTAATGTCTACACACTCCAACTTTTTTACCTCCATATTTGGGTATAAATCTTTAATAAAAAGATTGGATTTACTATCCCCATCACCAAGAAATTGAGTATATCTTAACTTGTGTTTTTTTCTTGCGCCAACTGATTCCATACCACCAGCTGTACCTTGATAATTGTATGTCCTCACTAGTTGCATTTTTTTTCACTTCAGTTGCAGCATCGGACATTGATTAGTTTGTAACACTTTTCACAATGTTTTAAATTTTAGTTGTAATTTTTGAATAGTTTTTGGGTGTCATGGGTTTTGACATATTCATGAGCTGAGTAAATTTTTCAAGGCCAGTATGACCATGGCCTAAGATTCTCATTGCATATATTGTCCTGTTGTTAATATCAAACCCTTTATCACAAGCAACTGATGTATAAAATTCATGTTTATAGTCACAAGATAGTGTAGTACACTTTAAATATAGCAAAATTGCTAGACCTTTATTTTTTTTCTGATGATCACCTAAGTACAGTGCACACTTTTCACATTGAGGACACATTAACAATGAAAGAACTTTAAATTAAATTTCAGTGTCTATAATTCTGTAACCAGTAATTCTTTTAATGTTTTTACTTGGTACATTTGTAACAACTTTTAATTTTTTAGCTGATGCGCCTAAAATATTTCTTTCATCAGAGTCACATTCACTTACATTACATGCATTTTTATTTTTCTTCACCTTAAATCCTCTTCTTTTTTTGTGGTAATTTGTTCTCTGCTTTACTCTATCATTAATATTTTTGTTTAAAATAACTCCCAAACCAATAGGTTTTGTCATAATTTTTAATTTCTGCTGTTATTTAAATTAGCTTTGATAACTTGATAAAATCGTATTTAAGTAGCAATTGTAAATGGCCTATATTTAAATATAATAAGAAACAGAATATTAATTAACAAAGAAGATATAAATCAAAGCATATATTTGAAACAGTACTCCAGGATAAGTTCACAAACAAAATATTCGCCCCCATAGCAACGCGTTGCTACGCAAATATTTTTTACTTGAATTCAAAAAAACATAAATTAAACAAAAACTTATAAAGAAATGTTTGATTTTTTTTTGCAGATTCAAAATCTGCATAAAATTTTGGTCTAAAATTATTAAAAAAAAAAAAAATCAAATTAAAAAAAAAAAAAAAAATCAAATTTTTAAAAAAAATGTGCGGGTAGTTGCCCCTTAATTTCTACTGCTTTAAAATACTCAGATTAAGGAAAATA